GTTACCTTGATGCTCGCTATGCTTGCTACCTTCAGAAACATTCAAAATAATTAATTGGTTTAATGACAAAATAGTTTTGTAATTATTTATTATTCTATATTTGAGCGCACTGCCAGCAGCGAGTTGTGGAGAATACGAGGTAATGCTCATTACCGCAACAGTGTGTCTAATAACTCACCATAGCATGGCGATGCGCAAGTTTTACGGCTTTCATTCCGCCTCTCTTGGTAGTACTATTACAGTAATTGTCTGTCTTATAAATGGAGATTGCAACTTGGCGCAACAGAGAGAGGTGTCATGATCACAAGGGGAGTTGGTGCCGAGCTCTGGCCACTGAAGCTCAGATTACCAGAAACTGCATGGGCACTATGGAGGACAGACACCTTGAGGAGCAGCTTGTCAATAAACCTTAATGAGTGCGGCTTCGATAGCAATAAAAAGCAAGTATGTCCAAGATAAACAGAAGTCTGCAGCAGCGTAGAGACCTCCCTCATACCCCATTTATACCGCCAGTGCCTAATCTTTTGTAAAAAGGATGCACATTGCACCACATTATTGCCACAGTCTGACCACTTATAAACGACCCAAGGCGTCCTGATGCCGCCACAGCGTTGTGGTAAATTGACGACCTTGTTTTGTACAACGGCTTTGGTCTGAGTTTCCAGTTAAAGTCAGTCTTAAGAATGTCAAACATCATCCAGCTTTTAGTATCACAAAATATCGCATCGGCTCTGTTGTGTTGTGTCAGTACACACCCCTAATATAAATAATAGATATCAAATTCAATGTAAAAGATAATGTACTTCCAGGTTAATGTTAAATGAGATTTTTAGTGAATTTCCTTTAAATTCTAATATTTCTATTATTATCAGTGTGTTTGCACCTCCAGATAAAACTGATAATCCTGAAGTCTGATCCCGTGTTTGGGATTGTTAAACTTCCTGATCCGTCTGTCAAAAAATGTTCAAACCTTGTTTGTATTGCAAATATTGTTGGTTGGAATTCATAGCTTGTATTGTTTAGTGTATTTCACAATAGTTGTGTTTTAAGAGTAAATGTGTTTTTGTGAGGCAATAATTTAGATTACGCAATAGAACAATAATTAAAATGGGGTTGAATACAAAGTTCTAGGCAACAACTTCAAAACAGAGAGGAGGATGTAACTACTGGCAAGACTTTACAGCCTGACAGAGACAAATCTCTGAAATATGTTAATTCTGAATCTGGCTGAAATTCAACTTGTATAAAGATAGTTTCTCATGAACGCTGGATGTGATTGATGTGGCTAGGTGGATACATGTGAGGGGCTAACAAAATCACTCCTACAAAAATACAGCGCTCTTTTTTTTTGGAGAGGAGGTGTCATTAGATCATCAGTGACTTGGTTGATTGCTGGGTCGTGAACTTGTCTCTTTTTCCACTGATATTTGAATAGTCTACTTCTTTGAAGCTCTATAAGAAGAAAAGACACTTTTTTATCTGAAGATTTACTTCCTTGCACTAACATTAACTCAGTAAATTTGTAAAGTTTCTGTTCTCTTGTGTTATTAAAAGACAAACTTAATAGTTTAGTTATAGCTGAGTGGGTAACTTCAGCCATACATTAAAACAAATAAAACATGGTGCAGGCAGTTAGTGGAAAATATGTGTATTGCATGTAGATTGTCTTAATTAAATAATGACTTCCAGTTCATTACCTAATAATAAACACTGGGAAGGGGGGGGGGGGGGGGGGTGTCTGATTTTGCTTGGAGCTCCTTTTCGCATTTTGGGTTTTACAAATTGGAGCATATTCTGCCCCCTGCTGGTGAAACAGTAGAATGCCGTGTTCAAATCTGACTTCCGACTATATCTGCTGTTTGCATCTGAAGTGAGTTGCCATTCCTCATGCTCCAGCTATTGTTTTGACTTGCAGTCATTGAGAGGAAAAGCGGAAGAGAGGTGGTGTGTTGGGGGGGGGGGGGGGGGGGGGGGGGAGAGTCACTGTAAGCCCAAGGCCTGATTTATTCAGCTGACTCCCCCACGGTGAGTGTTTGTGTGCTTTTGGGAACGGGAACGTGTGCCGCTCCATCTGTGCTCTAATGAAGAACATATTGGATTTCTGACATTATAAAGTATCCTGTGATAAATTTAAGGGGATGGGGGAGACGCATCCCCTGTGATTTATGAAGTAGTTACCTGTTAAAGAGGGCAAAAGGAGCTATGTGCTTCTTCATGAGGAATACGTCACAGCAGCCAGGATCTGTGTGTTGTCCCAGCTTGACACACAGATGTCTGTCTTCAGAGGTGGCCTGAGCTGGAATGTGCTGCCTTGTCCTGAAAACATTGTTGGGGTGGACGAGTACATGCGTACGCCGCTGTAGTCTGCAGGGAGGGTCCATATGGAGGTTAACACAGCAAGCAGTTCTTATGTAAACCACCACATGTCCTTCCTCTCTGAATAAAATGTCCATTTTACAATGTTTTTCTTGGACGCCATGAGGCTTTTTTTTTTTTACACATTTCATGTAACTGGTTCAGGACAGTCGCTCAGCTGGCCAGTCAGATTCAACGTGCCTGCTTCTTGTTCTTTGTTATTGATAAAATCACATTCCAGCCAGAGCGTGTCCTCGTCTCCCTTCTCCATTATTTCCAGATGTGCCATGCTCATCTAACACGAAGGAATGTATTTAGCTTTTGGTGGTTATCCTTAATATCACACATCTGAGTGAGTCTCCTGTTGTGAAATCTAACCCCTTCACCCCCCCCCCCCCCCCCCCAATCGTTTCGGAAATGCTGTAAAATCACTTCAGAGTTACCCAGTGAGGATACAAGCATGCAGGAATGTAAGTCTAGTTTTGATTTATTTTGCAAGAGCAAGAGGGTGTTGCATTACTAATTTGATTACTTGCAACGAACATCAGCATCCTGTTCTGTTCTTTTCTTTGTTTTCTTGTTTTATCACTTTATTTTAAAAATATAGACACTGGTGATGTCGGTGTGAGTGGTTGAGCCGTAATCATATTTAGCCTTTGAGATTGTGTCAGTGACACACATGGAAATCAGCTGCTTAATAACTCATTTTTCTTCATCACACTCCATTTGGTAAACTTTTTCCCCCACATTTGTGGAATAAAACTTGAATATTTTAGGTGAAAGTGTATAAAATGAGTTTGAAATGACTAGATGGATAGTTTGGTTGCTACAGCAGTGAAAATAACAAAGAACAGAAACGCTCTGCCTGAACATGCTAATATCCATTTTAATTCAGGCTGAGTCTTTGCATAAGGTGTCCCGTACCTGGAAGTTTTTGGCACACCGCGTCAGTGAAATGTAACTTGTGCAGGAGAGAATACGAGGAGAGGGGAGAGGAGAGAGGAGAGGAGCTCTGCAGGGGGAGGAGGCGGCCATAGGCTCGGCTCGGCCCCGCCTCATTGTTTTGTCACCATGTGATCCAGCGGGGTTTTAAGAAACTCGGCTCCTGTTCAAACTAGAGACGCTTGTGTTTTATTGCTCTGCGGATCGGTCTCAGAAAAAGAAAAAGTATCTAACCGGAGAAGATGCGCTGCAGGATGAGCTACAGTCTGCCCTGCTCGCCGTTGGCTTCACCGCCGCGTCCAGGGCGATTAATGACCTACAGATCCAGATGCGTCAGGTAAAACAAAGACTTGTACACCCTAGATGAGTTTGTTTGTAAACGAAACGGATTTAATGTTCTTCTAAAACAAGTACGTGCTGAGTAATCGCACTCCGAGCTCTTCATCGGTGCAGCGAGCCGTTCCGTAGCGACAGCAGCTGTTTGTAATGTGAGGACACCGTCTACTTTCTGGTCAAACACGCAGTTTTCAACCCTAACAAGTGTCGCATCTGTTTGCTGCGCGTGTTTACATTTTGTGGTCACCTGACGCCAAGCTCCACATGGTGGTACGTGCGCTCCAGCACGCAGGATGGAAATAATTTGGAGCGGAGCGGCTTGTGAACTGCTTCGACACACTGCTCCGAGTTTAGTCCACATGAAATACAGCACATAAGAGGCTTTTATTGTGATGAGCCACATCTGAATAAACAGACTCAAGGGAAATGTTTCAGGAGACAACAAAAGGTCAAATCTTATAAATGTGTTATTTACATGTGCTTCAAGTCTATTGTAGCATGATTGAATCTATCTGATATATATATATATATATATATAAGTGTGTCAAGCTATATATATGTGTAAGCTTTTAGGCGACAGCTTGACACACTTTCTACACATTCTGTTCCGTCTCCTGCCTCGAGGGTTAGAGTCCCCACCACTGCTTATTTTTTGCCTTGCATCCACTTAAGAGCAATGATTGAGCAAGTTAGTTTGGACCAAAATGCCCCCTGTGGTTCGTGGATTTGTTTAATACGTTATAGAGTAATAAAGCCACTTTTAAGTGTACCAAACAGCATTTTGTTCCTCTTTTTAAGGTGGAATGCAGAGTTGTACTCTTCACTGATGCAGTTGTGATGTGAGTTAGAGATTATGATGATCTGTTGTAATAAACAAAAACCAAAGCTTGTACAGATTGTTTTGGCTGCTGTGGCATCACAGCCCCTTACAGCTGTGTGTTTAACGTGCTTCATGGTACAGTTGTGCCTGCAGGCTCACAGGGCTGGAACATCCAGGCTTTTAACTTTGCTGGCCTTTTTTATGTTGGCTTCCACACCCCAGAGACTTTGTGAACTTTATTAAACCTGCTTAACTTTTTCTATTTAAAAGATAACAATCTTCTTTTTAGAGATGGCACCTCATTAGAGTTCACGCATCAGCGCAGGTACATCCGTGCTGATCTCTCATTAATTTCTGGCCTCATCAACTCTTGTTTTCTGTGAAACGAGCCACCAGAACTTAAAGGTTTAGTTTCTGTGTTGCTCCAAAAGTTTTATAATGTAATCTTTGTTTTGTTCCAGAAGTGAATGGAGACACAAAGGTGATATTATTCTAAGGTGAAAGACTTGTTCTAGACTGGTTTCTTATCCTCTCTTTCTCTCTACAGTGCGTCTGGTGCCAGCATTGTTGCCATCGATAACAAGATTGAGCAGGCCATGGTGAGTTTCCACCTGATCGCTCTGAGCCTCAGTCATAACATCTTTTCATTGTAATTGTTTTTCTGGTGTTTCCACCAGCACACCTGAGCAATAAGAACGTGGTTTCTTCATTTTTTTTCCACCCCCTTCAGGATTTGGTGAAGAGCCACCTGATGTATGCTGTGCGTGAGGAGGTGGAGGTGCTGAAGGAGCAGATCAAAGAGCTGTACGAGAGGAACTCTGTGTTGGAGCGGGAGAACGCCGTGCTGAAGTCTCTGGCCAACACGGAGCAGCTCAGCCACTTGTCCAGTCAGCTCAGCAGCTCCTCGGCGCCGATGCAGCTACAGCAATACCCGCTGGTCAAAAACAGCACCCCCGCTCTTGTTCACAATGAGGGGGGTCAGAGCGTCCCTTATCAGCCAAACATCACATCGGCGTGAACCTCTCTTCTTTAAACTCGCAAACTCATGCCTCCTGCGGACTGGAGAGGAAGGTCTGGTTAATGAATACATCTACCACCACCCCCATAAGCCCCCCCCAAGGGTCTGGTTCTGGTTGCTATTTAAAATCAGAGTCAACAACATCTTTGTCGTCAGGAGCCGCGGCTCACCATCACAGGACCGTCACTCTTAAGACAGTTACCAGCCTTGTAAAGTCTTATGGTCCTGTGTTTGGCTGCAGCGAGGGGAGACGCAGCACCTGTGCAGGAAGTGGGGGTTCACGAGCACAACGCGCTTGGCATGTCGGGACAAATCAGAAGGCAGACTTGGAGACAAAGGTCTCTCCTTAAACATCTGGGACGGACTGTCCTCCTAGTGTCCATGCCGCTACATCACTCCAGGGCCACGGGGCCAGGGTGAAGAGGAGGAGGTGGAGGCGAGGAAACGCACTGCCGCAGCTCGAGCAGAGCGAGTCGAAAGCCTCAGCTTGTGTCGTTTCCTCAAAGCCACCGTTTAACACGGAAAAATTCTCATTACTTCAGTTTTAGTATTTTTCATTTATTTATTTCAGGGCTGCTATTTTCATGATGTAAATAAACTGTCATGGAGTTACGTATTAAAACCAACAACAATAAACATTCTCTTTGGTCTTTTTGGTATTTAGAAAATCTGTTGGGTAAAAAACATTGCTAGATTATTTTTTCTTTTTTACAGATAAAATTTCAGTAAGTAGGCAATAAGTTCCACGATAGAACCAACACTAAAGCTGAGCTTTCATAGGGAGAAATCCAGGTTGAATGTATATTTTGTAAAGTATTAGGGGTTGTACAGGTGATGAGACATGAAATGTGATGGGATGTTTGTTTTGTCTAAACTTTGGGGTTTGTTTTAGGGTGGGATGAAAAGCTGTGAAAAATTCTTCAACCTACTTTATAACCAAAGACTAAAATGATGTAAGTCGGTCCCTCCTGTTTTTATAATGCACATGTTTTCTACTCCCTCCTTCCCTAAATATATATACTTTTTCTTTTTGTTGATGTTCTGCATGATCTATAATCAAACCACTGTCTTACCTCATGTTTTTATCCAGCTCTCATTTTTCTGTCAGGCTGTGAATGACTGTGGGAGGATTTGTGAGCAGGTCGGGTGGAGAAAGTGGCTGACATGTTGGATGGGGAGGAGAGAGAGAGAATAGAAATGGGTTTGGTGTGAGGGCGAGGGAGAGGCCTTGTGTGTGAAACATGGGTCACGAAAGGAGCCATGGTTAGGGTTCTCATGTGAATGTGGTTGAATCTGATGTGCAGAGATTAAAAAAGGGTTTGATGCATTTGCTGGTTTGTTTAAATGCAGCGTTTATTTCACTTATGTGCAACAAAAACAAAATAGAGCAATATCTGAAGAGCAGAAACTATTAAACATTTCTCACTTTAACACTGCAGCCCGCTTGATTGTATCCGATCATATTATGGGATGTCCTGCCTGCTATGTCTCTTTGCCTGTAGTGCAGAGGCCTGTAGTTGGCAGGCCGTTTGGTTTCTTTCTCTGTGGCTTAGAACCAAACCAAACTGCTTGGTAATTGTACAATCACACCTTTTTTAAGACTTTTATTTTGGTAAATGGGCTTATTTTTTTGCTCTTTGTTTTTCATTTGAAGGAGATGCCGTGTACATGCCAAATGTACCATATGAAAGTAATCACTGAGCCTTGGAGTGACTAAACAAATGCCCTTGTAATGTGCTGTTCAGACGATTTTAGTTTTCAATCAGAAATAAACTGTTTTATCAGAATCTTGTTGGTGTTTTCATTTCCTCACATCTTTTATGATGCGAATCTTTCTTGTCATACGTGTTGACGCGGTAAACAGGAGTGTGTTAACAGAAAGTCTGCTGCAGGTTGTATCAGCAGTTTTGTGAATATGTAGACATTTTAGCACATATATCAGATAAAATGGAAAAAAAATAGGTTCAAGCTTCTAAAATAAAACAACGCCTAGCGGTGTCAAATTTAAACCATCAAATTTTTTTTAGAAAAGGTTTGTGACAAAACATTTAAAAATTCACAAAATAATCAGTTTCTTAACATGACACCCTTAATGCCACCCGGATCTGTGTCCACTAATGTCAGGCACGTCCAAACTGCGGCCCAGGGGCCATTTCTGGCCCTCCGAGCGATTTTGTGCAGCCCCCACTTGAATATTTAGAATGAATAATTTTTAGATCACCATGTGTATGTTCAGATTTTCACATATTAGCCTACTCTGGATTCATTTTGAAGAGTGCAAATAAAGAAAAATACCATAAAATAATATTTGCAATTTTATAAATGAAGAAAACCACATTCTTGTGGCCCCCCATTGACTTTAAGCATGACTATTTTGGCCCTCGCCTTGACAAGTTTGGACATCCCTGAAAAATGTGTGGACATTGGTTCCTTGCACTATAAAATTGTATTCTCTTTATTCAACTTAGACCTTTTTGTTATTATTTATAAACACATATTGTTTTTAATTGAAATATTTTTGTTTTCTTTCTTTTTTGGGGGGAATTTTACATTTTTATTTAATTTTATAGCGATTTAAATTTAACATTTTGTTTCATTTAATGAGAGCAGACTAATCTGTAATAGTTATGTCTTTTAAATCACATCAGATGCAAGTTTGAGTCTCAGCATTTTTAGCACAATTAGCATTTACCACGTTGTTCCTGGCCTGCATAACCCTTTAGCTGAGAACCACTATAGGGTTAAGTTTGACAAGAATCTATCTTTTTAGGAGCTTCTACTGAAATCTGTTCCACATGGAAGCACTTTCCTCAGAGTGCAAGTTTATGTACTGTTCTGAGATCAGAGGCAGACCCTTCAGCTTTTCTTACATAACAATTTATTTTAGAGTCTTTCTCTGCCTTTAAAACGAAGACATAATTTTAGTTTATTATCTAATCCCTTCAATAGATAATTCCTGCTAAAATTGTGTTTTATAAGTTCCTGTTGCTGTTCAGGTTCTGTTTATTTTCATTAGAATAGGCATTGCACCAATGGAATTAATGAGGGAATGGACTTAATTGGACTTCCAGCTCATTTAGACCTGAAAATAAAGCACAACTGTCAAGGAAGTTGAATCATGTCCAAATTCCTCAGAAAGAGTTACTGATAAATCCCCGGGGAGTCGGATTGTTTCTTTTTCCCCATCGAGGATTGTGTTTACAACACTTCGAAATGATCTAGATGTGTGGGATTTGTGCAAAAAGGAAGGGAGGTGAGACGAAGCCTGATCAGGTCTAAGATAAATACCCCGATGACGCCACTCAGCCACCTGTCAGAACCTGCATGAATCAGCTCACAAAGTTATTTTGGTTTTAGCTAATGTCTGTTTCTATGTCACATTACCTTTACTACGTTTAAACAGAATAAAAATGATAATAATCTGTCAGAAATCACCCCTGAGCTCGTTTGAAATGAGATGTTTCTTTTATTCCTGCTTAGACTGGTGCTTCATATCTTTGTCCTTCACCGTGTCCTGGTTTTGTTCGGAACCATCTGTTATTTCCCCATACGGACTCTGCTATGGTGTTCACCATAGATTGTGTCTGATTTGGCTTCTTATAAACATGACAAGTCTCATCCCAGCTGACTCACGGGTGACAGGTTCACTGTTGTGACCAAAAACTCCCATATTGTCAAAGGAGTGGGAAGTTTAACCCCTAAACAAAGAGCTCTTCCCGATAACGATGTGCAACACCTTTCATTTTAAACCACGTGAAGCTTCAAACCTGTGTTGTAAAACACAAACTCTGATTTAGAAAAATAAGCAAAATGAGTGTGCGAGATGTTTAAACGTGCAACAGGGTCCCAAACTTGTTTGCGCTTGGCTTCTTCTTATTCTTCTGGAATTAGATGTTTACAGGTGATATCATGTGAGTCCAGTTTTCCTCTCGGTTTTACAAAGTTACATCTAATCCGATCAGCTCACATTTAGATCCAAAAAACAAACAAGAACCAAAACAAAACAAGAACGAACCATAGGAGGACTGTTTCATCTCAAGTGACTCCTGGGTGACCTTTGATCCAGACTTTGAAAATGGGGTGGCCCAGGCACACTTGTTTATGTATGGGTGGCACCTATGGTTATGCTTTGTAGGGGTTTGTGTGTGTGTGTCACAAAATCATTCTTTTTTTGCATTCTTCTTCTTCTTCTTCTTCTTCTTCTTCTTCTTCTTCTTCTTCTTCTTCTTCTTCTTCTTCTTCTTCTTCTTCGTCTTCTTCTTCTTCGTCTTCTTCTTCTTCTACTCAAACAGAACTTAGTGGGGTGGCAGTTGGGGGTGGCCAATGAGATTCCAAAGGTGGCATGCGCTACCCCAGGGCACTCCCTAGACATGCCCCTTGCATCAGTTCTTGAAATGAATCACTGTCAACTTTCCAACAAGATAAAGCCCAATCATACAGCTAAGGTATAATTATGTACTTTACAATCTAGCAAAAGTAGGTCAAGTACATTAGATTAGCTCTAAATGCTCAAACTACCCCAGTTCTGTTCTTTGTTCACACCTAGGTCACCAACAAGCTACCTTATCTTCTCAAATGTAGTTTTAAACATCCAAACCAACACTCAATCTCCATGTGCCTTTTTTTTTGGCCTCCTCCAACTTTGAAACAGGGAAGAAGATGAAAGAGCAAACTCCAAGATCAACATCCAAATGTCATACCGTTGCAAACTGGATGAACAAGGCCTTGCGTCACTGACAGCTTTTCCTATTCACATACTTTCCACAGATCAAGTACATTCATGCAGCAGCGCTACAAATCTGTGACTCACACAAGCTCCAATAGAATTGTGTAATAATGGGGAGTGTGTTTCACGTCACTGCAGGCAACGTGGTTCAGTAAATTCACCCTCGTGAATGAAGGGTGATAAAAAAAACAGTGTTTCCTCTTCCCCTTAACTGTAATCTTAACGTGCCCAGACATGTTCTGCCTCCTGGTTCTAATTTTTAATACGTGACTGAAGTCAGGGCTTGTTAGAAACATCCATCAGACATTATTTTATGATGCAGACTCGTAAAGCAGCTAAACCATTCATAAATGGTGCTTTTAGAGCATTTCATACAGAATCAAGCATGTAGAAATACATAAACATGATACAACACATCTGACATATTTCTTAGAGAAGAGATAAAAAAGTACATCAGAATAACAAGTCAAATATTGTAGAGAGGATCTTTTGTTCAGTCTAGGTGGTTCCTTTTTGTTGCTGACACTGGACGAGGTGACACACACACACACACACACACACACACACACACACACACACACACACACACACACACACACACACACACCAACAACAACAGCTACTCATCCTTTAGTCGTGCAACCACTCCCAATTATTTCACACAACTGTTAAACTCTGCCTTGTCCTGAGTCACTGCTGCCATGACACATCAGGTTTACTGTGTTTGAGGTCTGACACAACCCAGGAGAATGGTGCCATCATGTGGGGAAAATATGAAATCAAACAGCTTATGTCTTTTTTTTTAATTTGTATTTAACCAGGAGGGTCCCACTGAGATTAAAACCCCAATGTTCAAGGGAGTCCTGGCCAAGAGGCAGGAAAAGGTACAGTCACAACATTTCTCAGTTGCATATAGAATTACAGAAGGCAGTTACAACACAGGGAATCTGTCTCAAGTCCTCTCAGTCTGGTTTTAAATTTATTCAGGGAGTTAATTTCCAGTTTTCCTGCAACCTGCTCCATGAAGAAGGAGCAGAGTGAACGACAGCCCTTTTGCCCAGTTCTATGTGAGCAAACAGAACACAAAGTAACAACTGATCGTTTGCACGCAGACTTTGAGACGTTACACTTCTCTATGAGATTAAGTTACAGATGTAGGTGGGTAGTAATCCAAGCATGGCCCTATAAATGAAAGTGTACCAATGTCCCAACCTCCTGGTGGACAAAGAGGGCCATCCCACTCGACAACACAATTCACAGTGTGTCAGTGGTCTACGTTAATATTAAACCTCAGCGAGGCATGATACACAATATTAATCGTACCAAAACACTGCTGAGGCATTCATATACAAAAGGTCTCCATAATCCAGAATAGACAGAAATGTTGCAGTAACTAGTTGTTTTTGCCCCAAAAGAAAAACAGTTTATTTCAAAAAAAGAAACCCAGTCTGAGTTTGAGTTTCTTCATAAGATTATCTATATGGGGCTTAAGGAGAGAAATGTCATAGAGCCAGACACCAAGGTATTTGTATGTGTGGACCACCTCTATGATATTTCCCTCAAGAGTGGTCACTGAAGGCATACTTAGAGGCCTTTTTTTAGAATTTGAAAACAACATTAGCTTAGTCTTGGCAGCATGGAGGACCAATTTTAACTGCAGAAGTGTTTGTTGGACTTCATTAAAAGCTTTCTGTAAAAATTCAACAGCGTTAGCGGGTGATGTTCAAAAACAGTAAATGATTGTGTCATCAGCGTAAAAGTGCATATTAGCATTCAACACATTTTCTCCTATGTCATTAATACACATAATGAACAAGAGGGGTCCCAAAATTGAACCCTGTGGTTCTCCCTTGTGGACACTCAAAAATTTAGAAGACAAACCATCACATTTAACACATTCAGTTCTGTCCTTCAAGTAGCCTGTGAACCATAAAATTTCATCTTCAGACAATCCCAAACAAAAAAGTTAATGTTTTAAAGGGACTATAAGGAAGTTTGACAGTCAAAACATGTATAGAAATAATACATTTCTTCTTCATACATTCTCCTGCAATGCCCTGGTCCTGTAGAATGAGCCCTGGCATTTTTACTGTGATTGCCTGTTTTTCTGTAAAATCACAGAAAAAGAGAGATGCTCGGGTTGAGCAGGCTGCTTCATGCACGTTCACGCTCAGGCATAGTCCGTAGCATTTGCTATCAGTAGCTTTAGCAGCAGAGAGAGAGGCAGTGCCAACTCAGCGACTTTGTCGCTGTTCCTAACACGTAGTGACAAACCTAGCTACATTTCTGAGGACCCTTAGCTACTTAGAACTTTCTTCTAGATATTTCCTGCAAATTAGCAACAAGATAGCTATTTTCGCTCCGAATCGTTCTTTGGATTGAGTTGTTTCAGCTGTCATCAAGGATATAAATGTTACAGATAGATTGAACATCATTGGTGTTTTAGTAAGGTGTCTGACTCTCATGCAGAAGACCTGGGTTCAACTCAAGTTGTAAACATAATTTTTCATTTAGAGTTTCTTTTTTACATTAATGACATATTTTTTACAGTAATAAGACACCCAAATTTTATTTGAGACTCGCCAAAAGGCATTGAATTCACAGATAAAAAAAGATGTGGGTTCGACTTTCATTTTGGAACAATTTTTCAAGCAAGGGAAGGGAATGATCTGAGCATGCAGGAGGACTGACCCATCATAAACCTGTGTCGGCTGTGCTGAAGAGAAAGGTACAGAACCAAATTATTTAATTAATTAGCTGCGTGTTCTCCTGTCCTCCGTCCTCCGGGCCACACACACACACACTGCACGTTCGGCCGGCCGACGAGAAAGTGCAGCTGCAGAGACAGAGTTACATTATTTTTTATTAATTTGCTGTGTTCTTCTGTCCTCCGGGCCACACACACACAGGACTGTCTCAGCTGTTATTTTCGTTAAGGAGTGTGCACGTACTGCATGCACACCTCATGCACGAGCTTACTTTTGAAGCTGCAGTTACGCGTTAGGACTGAGTGGCGATCGCGAGCAGTCCCTTTAATACAGCATGGTCCCGAGTGTCAACGGCATTTGACAAGTCAATAAAAAGTGAAGCACAGTACTGCTTTTAAGCAAAGTATTGATTCCAAAAATAACTACGTTTATGATTTCAGAAGGTAGTGATTTCATTAGCTGCTCCTTTGTGGTTCTAAAGAGACGAGAGGAAAAATGCTTTCTGTTGTCATGGGTCCAAAAATATGTGACTAAATGAGCATTTTTCTTTGAAAACATTTATTTTGTTACGTGACAAAAAAAAAGGCTACCCATGAGCGCGTCAGCATAGGACATTTCTTTACAAGTAAATAACAGTATAATATTTTACCAACAGGGGGCAGCACTGGATACCATTCAGGAGGTCAGGAGGTCAGCGGGGGAAAAAAACTGATCAACCAAAAATATGCATCTCGTCTGAGCAAGAATTTAGACTTGTTTAAAAGCAAAACCAGCCAAGTTCTTGTACACTCCCATACACACCCTTTTAAGTCATAGCGTAATCTATGACCTAGATACGTTTTCTCATAAAAAATAAATTATCTTTTTGTTCATTATTTGTTTTGGCTTTAGGGAATTTTGATGATTGCATACAGTTAATTTTAAAATAATCAGCGCTCAAAGAAATCAGTGGAAAAGATAAGTTAGCAGAGTAAATTAAAGAAGACATGACGATATATATATATATATATATATATATATATATATATATATATATATATATATAAAGAATGAATGAAAAAATGAAAAAAAATTGGCTTTTGAGTGGGACAATAAATCATAAAGAAAATGCTTACTCAGGATCTAAAATATTAAATACAAAAATAACGGACCTTCAGTGGAAAATGGAACTATATGTTATTATGATGAGTTTGCATCATAGTCCTAGTAAGGTAAAATAACCTATTCTACATGTGTTGGTGATGTACTAATACAAAAAAGTATACAAGTACAAATATACAAGGGCAGATATGTTAGATCCTGTTAACACAAAATACAAATAAGGAAAACATTCGTTTAGCTTGGCAAAGAAATTAACTGTAGAGCTGTAATAAACAAGTTTACCAAAAGGTGGCGGTAAAGCAATACAAAGGGTTCTAACAGCAGTTTAATCTACACAGAGGAAGAATGAAACTCCGCCCACTCACTGCTCCACGGCCTCAGCTGTTTTGATTCTCGGCTCTGACAGCGGAGACATGGCGGAAAACTGGAAGTCCAGGTGACTATTTTTGCAACCCTGCCTTTAAGATAAACCCAAGCTCCCGTCCTTTTGGAGGAGTCACCAAGAAAGCTGGCTGCTTTGTTCGGCTCTCGCTTCCGCCCGGAGGACATGGAGGTGACGGCGGAGGGAGAGGCGGAGGAGCGCAGGTAAGAAGTGACAGCAGCAGCTCGTGCAGGGCTAATTAGCCCGTGTTAGGAACGACTGTCGCTGGATAAACAAAAGCACTGCACGCCCCAAAGCTAGCCTAACTTATTAAGCTCTAATTATTATAAATAAACTTAGTCGTTTTGGGGCAAAAATTCACTTAACTAAAAATTTTAGCTGTTACGCTAAGCTAAGCTAGCTTGACATGATAATCGGCTATCGCAGCTGCATTTAAATACCGAATGTTTACTAGCAGACGTGATACATTTTCATCCAATTTCAAACCGATTTGTGCACAAGTTGTGTACTATAAACTGCTCTCAAAGCCGACACCCAAGAGAAGACATCCTGGTGCTGCCTGCAGATAAATAACCAACATTATCTTCCCTTCTTGCGGTTATGCAACTTCTTTCTTTCAGGACTTCATTGCTCCGGCTGGACTTGTGATCATTCTGTTTGGGATCAGACAGTTCTAGCTCATATCTTAGAGATAATTGTTGTTTTATTTGTTTTAAGAGCTATTTAAAAGCAATTTGACTCAGAAAGTGTTAAAAAAAGAAACATGTTAAAGCATTTATTTCCTATACAAGCTATTTAATGTTTGTGTTTTCTAATCATTTTATTTGTATAAAAATAAAAGTGGGATGGAGGCTTCAGTCATATTTTAGGATATGACAAAGCTCCTAACATTGATAGTCAGCACTCACCTTTAGTCACCTATTTGCTGAAAATGATTATTTTTCTCAGAATGCAGGCAGATGGATTCTGATTTCTGCTGTCACAAGCACATTTTTTACATTCTTACTCACTGCTTGCCTTCTTCCTTCCTGCCTTCCTCTCAGGAGGGAGCAGTGGAAGCTGCTGTCCAGTCTGAAGACCACAGTTGAGGGCCTTTTATCTACCAACAACCCCAACGTGTGGTCGCGTTATGGTGGCTTGCAGCGGCTACACAAGGACATGAACAACATCCTCAGCCATAGGCTGAAGAACGAGCAGGTCAGGAATATGCAGCTTGTTTCATTATTTTAAAAAAGTTGAGCCGTGGAGTCTTATTGAGTCGACGTAATCAAACTCTGACCTCACTTGTTCCAATAGAGGCACAAAGGAGACATTGATTCTACTTGTTTGTTTAACCTAATTTTGTGCGACATCACAAGGTTGAGACACTTGATCACAAATGGATCAGCTGTTTTTATTTCTTATTTGCATTTATTGTGATGATCAACTAATTAGGTGTTTATGACTAACCCTAGGGATGCACCGATACTGGTATCGGTGCCGATACAGATACCAGTATCGGTATCGATAAAAGTTAACCGATACCAGGAGCCGATACCAATGCAGTTGCTTGAAAATCGCTTCACTGTAACTTGTCATTTCTGTTCACCTAATATTTTTGTTTCGTGATGATTTCCATTCATATATTTTACTTTTTATCTACCTCACAGTCTTTTCCTGTTGAAAGCAGAGAAGAAAATAAAATCTGTATTCCAAATCATTGCGTTTTTTTGTGTGGTGGAAGTATCAGTATCGGTAATCGGCCTCGGCGAGTACTCAGATCCAAGTATCGGTATCGTATCGGTTTGGAAAAAAGAGGTTCCGGTGCATCCCTAACTAACTCTTACAGAAAAAGCATGTGTTCTCCATAATATTCATATTCCTTGATCTACTGTTGCATGTAAATGGGTGTTCAAGTGGCCAGATTTCTGTTGCAGGTGTATTACAAGCAGCGAGACTATTGGCCGTTTGTTTGGTGTGTTCGCTACATCAGCCCCCGCCTGGCTCCGCATGTCGAACAGGTGTGTTTAGCTGCAAAAAGACGTTTCTTTTTGCATTTTTTTCTTGGATTATTTCCTAGCATAGTGAAAAGTGTGAGATGTTTACGCAGCGTTCCTCAGCCCTGGTTCTCAAGACTCTCTTTCGTGCATGTTGTGGATGTTTCTCTGCTCTAACAGAACTACTTGACAGTCGAAGTTGTGAAGTTTAGCAGCAGGTTGTTAATGAAACCCTGTTTTTAAAGCTGTTGTGCTAAAGCAGGAAAGGATTTAGACTTCAGGACTGTGTTTCATGAAGATAAGCAAGCTGTCATGTTTCCGTTCTGCAATTTTTACCCACGATCATCATATTTATTTTTTATTCCTATAATCTATCATTTCTATTTTTTCTCATAGACAAAATTGGATTGTTTTGAGGAAGTGGTAGTCGTGGTACAACAATGACAGTAGATCATTATTCATAGGAACAAAATGGTCATTAGCAGCTTTGTGCTGCATCTGAAGATGGCCTGGTTTCTGCACTGGGTTCTAAAATGTCTCCAGATTTGAACGTTGCTCTGGTAGTTTTTTTAAATTGGACATTTCAGCTCTGGGAAAGTGTTCTTTGCCACGCTCGTATCATATTTCTTAAAGCGAGCATGCTCCGCTTTGCGAACAATACCCCTTCAGTCTTGATCTTCTCTGTCAGGTTCCAGTAGGATTTTCCTACAACAAAGGGACTAAGATTTGCTGTAATCCAATTATTCTAATTATGGCCTCAGTGCTGACAAGCAGCCATTAGAGCTCACTCAGATCTTATGTAACTGTGATGTAATGATCAAATGATGACCTTTAGAGACCGTGTTCCTAATTATCTTTTAGGTTTTTGCAGCAAAGGGAAGTCACAGGTTCCCTGCCTAACAGCTCAATCACTGAAATGCCTCAGATTTTATTTAATTTGGTCAAAAACACTTCACTCTGATTTATTTGATCCTTCTATCCGTCCTCAGTTCAGCCACCTGGATCCGGTGCTGAGCAGCGGGACGCAGAGCGCCGGAGAAAGCTACAAGGCCGAGCGATGGCTTCTCCATAGCTTACAAGTCCACATGCTCTCGGCTCAGCTCCGACCGCTGCTCAGACATCCGGGGAATACATGTAAATATTACAGCGGTGAGTGAAACCATAGCAACTGTTTAACATCCTCACATATCACCTACTTCCCTCTCAGACTTTTCCAGTTATTTCTTTTCACTTTCTCCTCGCCTCTCCCTCTCAGGTGATGCCTTCCTGTTGAGCGAGCCTCATGTGACCGCCATGTTTCAGTGTCTGGAAGCTGTGGAGCAGAATAACCCAAAGTTGCTGGCTCAAGTGGACACAGTTGGGGTAACTGAAAGGATGCTTTAGTAGGGCGTGGATCATGGTGTGAAGAAGGGATTTCATAAACGTCATCTCTCTTCTCCCCTCCTTCCTCCAGCTGTCCCCTCTGAAGGGCTCGCCATGTCTGGGGCTGTTTAAGACCCAGAGCCTGTGTGTGTTGCCAGGAGCCTGTGGGGTCTGGAGGAACGCTGATGGGGTTCCTGCAAGAGACGGTCTGAACCGTAGACTCACCAGCTCCAACTGCTCTCTGCGAGATGTCGCCGTAAACAATAACTCCTCAGACACCACAGGAGCTAGGTCCCAAAGGGAAAACAATACAAGTGAGGAAGGCATCAGTAACAGTCTGTATCCTAGATAGGGATGCACCGACACGATACTGGTATCGGTATCGGTGCAGATACTGATACCAGTATCAGTATCGGTAAAAGTGAACAGATACCAGTAACTGATACCAATGCAGTGGCTTGAAAGTGACTTCACCGTAACTTGTCATTTCTGTTCACGTAATATTTTAGTTTGTGATCACTTATATTACTTTTTATCTACCTCACAGTCTTTTCCTATTGAAAACAGAAGAAAAATAAAACCTGTATTCCAATTCATTGCATTTTTTTCGGTGGTAGAAGTATCTGTATTGGTAATCGGTATCGGCGAGTACCCAGATCCAAGTATCGGTATCGTATCGGTTTGGAAAAAAGTGGTATCGTTGCATCCCTATTCCTAGATGTAATAATACTTTAGTGTCTGCAGAGGGAGATGATGTACAATTTCCAGTTGAATGAGTCACTTATTACCAGTTGCCCTAAGGCAACGGTTGTTCAGATCTGGAGAGTTGTAGTTCTGATTGAATGTGTTAATAACTAATTCCTCCAAAATGTAGTTATTAAGGATCCAAATTATTGTTTATCTTGAATCAGATGTAATGTATTTGTGTGGTTTAGTGAACTATAGGTGCTAAAAGTGCAACTGCAGAGCTCTGATCCTGTTGCTGTGAATGGATGACTGGGTTAACCCTACAGAGGATGGATTGTTTGACGAGTTTTTGAGGAATCTGATGACGCAGCTTAGAAAACTCTTGGGCCAGTTTAGATTTCTTCTTTTATTTAAAGAGATCCAAATTGGTTTCAGGGGTTTTTCCATTCCAATTCCATTTAAAGATGCTTGATTTGGAAGATCACACAAATCCTATCCACGGGGGGTACCTGTGAGGAAATTTAGACAAAAAAAAAAAACTGAACTAAGTGAAATGATCGCTGTTCAAACAAGTGAAGAACAAATGACCGACAGCTTCCTTCCTCTTTTGGTTGAAACTTTTCTTTTGTAAAAGTATCACACACACACACGTTGTGTTGCAGGCACTATCTTTCCATCCAGGAGTCAGGACGCACCCTGGGTGTTTGTGTCCAGATTGGAGGAGATGTCGGAACAACACGTCACATCCCCGACCATCCCTCCCGTTCCCCTAACGGAGTCCACCTCCTCCCTTCAGCCGGAGCATACCAACTGCTGCGATGGTGACTCTGATGATGGTCCGGAGTATCTGGCCATCGGTAACCTGGGACAGCATAAACGCAGCGGCTCTCGAAGCTCCACCCACAGCAGCGAGCAGGACGAGATCAAGGAGCAGCACTCTCAGAGGAAGTCCGTGGCTCCGACTCCACAGCGGCGGTCGTCTTTTTCAGAGGGCCAGAAGGGGCGGGGCAGGGGCCCTCTGGGACACACCCGCTCTTTTTCAGACACTGGGCTCAACCAAAAACTCCGGAACGGTAAGTGAACCAGGATAACACAGTCCTTTTTTAAATGAAGGACATCAACGTCTAGAATATTCTGGTTTTATTCATATGATAAAAGTTGTCATGTCCATTTAAGTGTTTTTAATCAGAACTTTTGTCTTTTTGCTGCTTTTTTTTTTTTTTTTTGAAGATGCAGACTTCTTGTCTGATGGTTTAACTTCTATCTCCTGCTCAGAGTTTCCCTTCCTCAGCTTGACTTAATATCTGCTTCTGATGTGTCTCTTTTCTCCCTTTACTCTGTGTGAAGGAGGCGGCCACAGAAAAATCACCATAATAATAGAGGATCCGGTTGCAGGTTGGCAGTGCAGTTTCCCTGTACTCCCATCACTTGACCCGTCCCACCCTCATTTCTCATTTTCCTCTGCATGACGATGAACTTGATCCTTCCCATTTCCGGTCTTGTGCTCTGCTCATCGTTCAATCCTTAAGATCTGTGTTTACTTTGGGTTTGACCTTCTAAGTGGGTCATATAAATGTCACCAAGCCACACAGTGTTATTCTTACTTTACATGTTTATCGTTCTGCATTTCATTGAAAGGATCATGGAACATTCAAGTTCTCATTTTATGTTGTTTTCCCTTTTTTGCATGATGGCGATGATTAGGATGCTGGATTAGTCTTGTGTGGATCCAGATTTTATCAGCTCTTGTGGAACCCTTATTTAATGAAACAGGCTCTTTGGGATTCTGCAGTAATATTAAATCTCAGCAGCCTTTTTTTTAAATTTCTGTAGGTGTTATTTGACTCAGAAACAAAACTAAAATCCGCTTAAGAAGCTGTTTTTTTTAACGATAAAGGAATCATCACAGTGGTTTAGTGATCCCTGACATTTAGCACGTTTTTAGCTTTCAACATCACTAATATATTTTTGTTTTCCTCATCAGAATCAGCCAGTGAGGACCGCAGTATGACCGACTACAGTCCTTTTTCACCTCAGAGAAGTGATTCCAGCTCTCCCACGTCTTTTTACATGGAGTCCTGTGAGTTTTCTGACGATCTGTTTTGATCCACTTTGACATTTTTTTTTGTATTGTCAGAAGAAAACTCAGCGTTTGTTTTAATTGAAAACTTATGTAGATTTGTGACCTACAATTAGGGGACATGAATGCAAATAAATGCATATTCTTTTGGTCAAAGTCCAGAAGATGACCGTAAAGCAGTTGGTGTTCACGCTGGAATACGGGAAAATACCTTTACTAGAAAGTTAGCCATTATTATTTAAAGGAAACTTGGGTTTTGGTTCCTAAATGTCAACGTGGCATCTAGGGCTGCAACAACGAATCGATAAATTCGATGAAAATCGATTACTAAAAGCGTTGGCAACGAATTGCGTCATCGATTCGTTGTGTTGCGCAACTCTTCCAAAAGCCCCCTCCCCTCCTGCCCGCCGTTGCGCGCAGACCGGTGGAGAGCCGGCAGGTGTTTGTAAGAGGAACATGGCAGAAGCAGCGAGACCCCAAAAAAGTAAAAACTTCTAAAGTTTGGGAGCATTTTCAGTTAAATCAGGCGAAGACATGCAACGTTTGTAGGTCAGACTTAGCATGGCACGGGGATACTACCGTGATGATGCAGCGTCTTAAACGCAAGCATGTCAGAATCATCAGCGAGGAAGGAGAGAGCTCGGTGTCCGGGTAAGTTAAAAACTTTTCAAAAGTGATTCACCCAAGCCCCGGATTATTACACAGGCTAGACATGCCCTAAGCTCGTAAAAAAAGTCTATAAAATTGTAAGCGCGACACTATTAGATAGGCGGGGGGGGGGGGGGGGGGGGGGGGGGGGGCGGACTCGCGCCGCTGCGAACCGGTTCCGCCGTCACATTCCCGCAGAAACTGGTTGATCACACCGGGGCCAGACTGCTAACATGTGGCTTTACAACCACAGTGTCCTCACAAGCGAAAACGCTTTTAAAAGGGAGGGAGGAGTCCTAACTGTTGCTGCAGGCGTGTTGTGTGCGTGTAGTTATATACTGGTTAATATATTTTTGGGTTCAGTTGCTTTCATGTGTCCTAATGTGAGTCTATTTGGGATCATTGGAATGATCAGCAGCATCTCTTGATGTGACTTTAAGGCAGTTGCCCAGGGCATCATCACAAGGAGGATGGCATTCATTTACTTTTGTTTTATTTGGTATTTTTCAGTCATTTTTGGAAATAGTGATTAATTCACAGCCTATGTTTAATTTCATTTAAAAATTAGTTGTTTGACATCCCCAATTATAATAAATGTCTACAGATGAGATCAAACAAAACAGATGATAATTGCCCTTAAAGAGCAAGTCACCCCCAAATAAACTTTTTTTTGCTGATAAACTAAATAAACGAGTGTCTAATCGTGCTGCAGACACGTGTCGTCAATAATTTGGCACTTCAGTGCATCTTAGTTAAAATTTAAATATTCTGCCTAAAACTGGCAGTGTTGTGCCGTTGTCAGGTAAAAACTCTGCACTGTATTTTAATTTAAATCTGCCACCGCTATTGGCTAAGAAGTATGCTATGATGTAAACTGGTACATTATGATGTCACAATGCTGTCGTGAGCCTGAGTGTGTGTGTATTTGTTAGCAGCTCCGCCCTCTCGGTCTGCCAGGCAACAGCATGTGTTGCATTTTTCAAACATGAAGCAGGAGTGGAGTTAGACTCTGGTAGGGGTTGACTTGCTCTTTAAGCTGTTTAACTTGGACCAAGCATTTTAGGTCACAGATAGGTGTAGCTTAAGGTCTCTGTCTATACACCTTATAAGACAATTTAGGTGATGGCATGTTGGTTTTCTGCTATTGAACTGTTTTCTAATAATGTGTTTAAGTGAAGGAAGGAAGGAGAAAAATAACGTTTCCCTAGCAGTTTTAAAAAATGTCCCTATGTAATCCGATTAATCGATTAATCGTGTCGAGACCCCATCCGATTAATCGATTATCCAAATAATCGTTTGTTGCAGCCCTAGTGGCATCTAACCTACAAACGTGATTTCCTGTATTTTTAGCACAAAAAACACTGAAAGCTTTTTGATTCTTATTTTTCATTTGACTATTTTAATTTGACCAAATTAATTATTCTTTAAAAAAGAGGATCTGTGCATTTTAAAGCAGCAGTCATCTCAATTTTATTCTATTCAGTTTATTTGTACAGCGCCAAATCCCAACATGAGTCGTCTCGAGGCACTATCCTAAGAAAACATTCCAGTTAAACCAGCACATTGAGTTCAGTTCATTATTTCCAATTAGTTAAGTTTCCTACATCAGAAAACCTGATGCAGATCCCATCGACTCACTGACTAGTGTTCATAAATTTAAGTATAAATTTTTATTAAAAATTACATTTAGTTTTTTAAATCTATTGAAATAAATACAAAATACCTCAAATAGTTTTAATGTTAAGGTTCTTCTTCCAAACAATGCAGCAAAAATGATCATAAATGAATGAAGATGAAGATATTAAAAAAAAAAAAGCTAAATGTGATAAACACTAAATTCTAAATTGTTTGAACTGCGCCCAGATCAGCTGATCTGTGCCAGTCTGACCCAGAGCGGGGGGGGGGGGGGGGGGGGGGGGGGGGGGGGGGATCTGTTTAACTTAATGGGACAATTGAAACTGGGAAGGTCTGTGAAGAAGAACTGTTCAAACTAGTTCACAGGAGATGTCCAAAGAGCTTGAAAGCCGTGTGCGTTCGTGCGTTAAAAAACAAACGGCTTTTAAGGGATTTGGCGTTAACGAGCTATTAATGCTGATACGAGATTACTCTTACCGGGCATATTTTACTGAGGATGTTTTCGGCTCACCATCTGACTCCTAAAATCCAAATCAGATCCGTGTAGCTGACGGTACCTCATGTTTTTACAAGCATGTCTTCATCCACGTGCTCTGCAGCAGCTGCTGCGTTTCGTCCAGAGCGGACACAGACTGACAACATTCATGAAAAAGCGGGTGAAGCGCTTAACTGTCTCGCTCACCATCAGCAAGTGCAGCCGGTTAGCCGGCAGCAAAATTCTATACCATATGCCAACATCGTACCGGTTATATCTTATACATTTATACAGCACATTACTAATCCCTGTGCTGAGCAAGCATGTAGCGACAGTGGAGAGGAAAACTCCCCTTTTACAGGAAGAAACCTCCAGCAGAACCTGAATCAGTATGAGCAGCCATCTGCTGCGACTGACTGGGGGTTTTGAAAATAAGTTGCCTCACTTCTCCCTCCCACTGGGTGAAAACGGAATTACAACTGTTGTAAATGTGTACTGCTGTAGTTAGCGCTAACAATGAGCTAACTAACATGAGCCAAATGATACAAAATAAGCCATCAAGTAAAAATATCCACTCTGTTGAACAAAAGTATTGTTACTTACAAGTCCAGTGGCAGCAAAGCCAGGTCGCCTCCAGTCCGTGATTTTGTTGCCTCCTTCAACTTCCTCAAATGAGTCTAGCCCGCGCTGATGTTCACTCTGGTTTTAGCTCTTTGCTTCACCACCAAAAACATTACTCTCTTACTTTGACATTCAGGCTCCACCATGATGCCAGCAAAAATAAGTGAAAAATCTTCTTCATATGCTTTTGATGGCTGGTGAACTGAGAAAGCTGCGTGTTGATCGTAACTACTGGCACACAGTTAACGGCTATTTTCCTTAAGCAAATGGAGACCTCCCACTAGTGTTCCTACTCAAACCACAAAACTGTTAAGTGCAGTTTCTGGTCAACAGAGTGCTGTCCAGTGTGAAGTTGCTCAGGTTTCTGGCTCAAGAACCACTAAAACCAGTTTGAAAGCAATAGCTTAACACGTTAAAAACTCTTTAGTGTTGTTTTAAGTCGTGCAAAGCAAAGCTGTGACCGTGAAACATGAAAAAAGTCAGTGAAACCGGCCTCTCCTTGCAAAAAGCTTAAAAATGTGTAAAAAGCAAGCAAATGCTGAGTCAGCTAAAGCCCAAGTCTGTTTTTTGTGCATGAATGTGAAGCTGAGCGTGTTTTTGCTTCTTCAGACGGGTCCCAGTCCAGCAGCGTCCCAGATGGGATGTTCAGGAAGCCGTCAAAGGGACAAAGCCTCATCAGCTACTTGTCGGAGCAGGACTTTGGCAGCTGTGCGGACCTCGAAAAGGTGAAGCCACCATTTAATTCAAATGTTCGTTTCTTAGACATCAGGGACACGAAGATTGGCTTTAAAACTCATTTAATGTTATTGTTTTTATTTCCAACCTACAGGAGAATGCTCATTTTAGCATCTCCGAGTCCTTGATTGCCGCCATCGAGCTGATGAAGTACAACATGCTTCGTCAGGAGGTAGAGGGAGAGGAGGAGGGGGACAGTGATTCAGAGATCCAGCAGCTCAAGCAGAAGATCCGCCTGCGGAGGCAGCAGATCCGACACAGCCGTCTGCCTCCCTACACCGCCTCCCAACACAGTGAGCATCAACTTCCTGTTTCGATATACGCCTTTTCTGATTCTGGTTATTTATTGTTCTCTGGTCTTTAAACGGGAAATGAGCTTTCAGCTTTTTAAACTGTTTTTACTCTTGTGTAGATTTCCACTCCACCGACAGTGGAGGCTCCAGGAGGAGCTCCCAGGACTCGTTCCAGGGCCTGTCCGACTCCGGCTCGGCTGAGGAGGTGGAGGAATGCGAACTGCAAGGTAGGAAGGGTGGATGAGACAGTTTAAGAAAGACAGACAGTCTACTTGTTTTAACTTTACAGAGTTTTGCACGACGTGTTTCTCGTTGTGACCGCTCGGTGGAAGGGGCCGATAACGGATTCTAACAAATATCATATATATTTCACTTTCGACCACACCACCTACGTTGTTTCCCTGCTTCACTTAAACACCCCCCACAATCCTGCACTGCTTCTGCTGTCACTTGACCCATCAGCTGATGCTATGTTGATCCTGAGCTATCGCGCATCTCTTATTTTTATTTGATGTGAAACGAGCTACGTAAAATACGACTCAATCGTTGTGGATTCAATTCGAGTAGTGTTCAAAGCTTTAGAAGTAATACCTGAGTCAAAGAAATCCTGTTTTGGTTTATTACTGAGCACAAGGATGTCATCTCAGTGTGAATGAGTCGCTTTTTTTTTTTAGTTTGGATCATGTTTCATCATCACATCACCCCCCCACCACCCCACCCCAGTTTTATCAAGAGCTAATAAACGATAACGTTGGAGTTTCTGCTGTGTTTGATCTAAATTATTTAGGCACATGAGGGAGTCTTGTGATGTTCTTTAGAGCTCTGGTTGATCTATTAAACTCCCGCTTTTTTAATGTTCAATAACCAGTAATAACGTGTCTGAAGAGGACTTTCCATGGCTGATATCCAGATGCTTTCCACCTGCTATGATGTCACCAATAACAACAGTGGATGCACAACATTTCTGAGGCTGAATCAGTTTTTAAACTCTGATTTGAACTAATTGTGCACTGCTCAGTGTTACAATCAGACATTTAACTAATGTCCATCAAACAAATCAACCAACTGACCCAAGTATTAAATATTCAAAACTGGTAAAAAAAAAAAAAATATATATATATATATATATATATTTTTTTTTTAGCACATTTATTATGCAGATGGGGTTCAGGAAACTAAATATTTAAAGAAAAATTCTGCAGCAGCACCACGCTGCATGAGAATGTGCCATTGTCTGACCGATACGTCGATCTGCCCCTAATTGACACCCAGGCTGCAGGTTTCATGACTTTGTGGGTCTTTGTACTAAACCAGTAACATAAGTCTCAGAGTTATTAATGGTATTAAAACCTCTGTATCTTTTTCTTGTCTAACCTTCTCATGTATTTTAACTCCTCAGTGTAATGTCGACACACAGCCGTTTTGAGTACAGAGATGTGTGTGTGTGTGTGTGTGTGGTGACTGTGGATTTGAGTGTTAGTTTCTGTCCCTCAGATGGCTGTGAGGGTCAGTCCCTGCTGGCGGTGTCTCAGAATGGCCTCTCCTTGTCACTCGCCTCTCTCTTCTCAGGTATCTGCTGGCTGGGCTTGTGGGCGAAGCTCAACAGCTTCGTACAGACACTTAACTGGGTCCTCTGAGAGGAAGTTGGTGGCTCCACACCAAACTGAAATAAACTTCTTAATCACTCTATCCTAACTGGTTGTGGTGGGAAATGCAACTCTGACCAATTTTTACTTCTTTATGCAGATTTTAGCTGTAACCACCTGAAAAAAAAATGCAAACACAGGAGAAAGAGAGTTTAATTTAATGCTTTTGAGTTCAGGAAATAAGCGTGTAAGATCAGCAGAGATATTTAGTTGGAGCAAAAGCCAGAATTAGAGCAATAAAGAGGAATTGCACTTATATTTTAATGCATTTGCAGTGGTAGGAATGAATGCCTTGTAAATCTGACTTTTGAGGAAAACAAGCTCTGGTGCGCCTGTTTCAGCACGGAGAATTTAGCCAGAGGAGAAAGTAGTTTCAGACTACAGGGTTTGGATTGTTATTTCCTGAGAATTGGACATCTCGCCTCTGACTGACTAACAGAATTGCAACTCTCCTTTGCAACATTGATGTTTTTATCTTCACAAATAACCCAAGCCTGAAGAAGTTTTGCTTTGTGGTGGAGTTGTTGATGCTAATAGTTAGCTTCTACCTGCTGAGATGTTCTCTGCTGTTACCTGCAAGGACGTAATTTTCACTTTAGAAGTGGGGGGGACACGGGGTGGGGGTGGGGGTGGGGGTGTATCTTTACAATATGTTCTAATGGGAAACCGGCTTCAACACAAACGGTTGCTTTCCGCTTGGTCCTAGAGCTCAACCAGTGTCAATTTAATATAGCGTAATATTGTTTTTGGATGGTAAAAAGTGCAGGGGTCAAAACTTGACTTTGGAAAAAGTGGGGGGGGCATGTCCCCCCTGTCCCCCCCCAAAATTACGTCCATGGTTACCTGTATGCTAAACCAACAACAGCCTTCCCCGTCGTGAGTCAAGATGGGTAAATCAGTGTGACATAGATCTGTCACCCTTTTCTAATCCTTGAGTTTCATTGTCTATTTTCTATCAGAAGCTAATGCAGGAGATAGGTGTAGGAAATTATTTTCATGTTCAGCCTGCATGAAAAACTCGGAAGTGACTGAAAAAACACACAAAAAAATGGTTTCTCAGTGAAGTTTCTCTTTAACACTTGTAAATTGAGGCTAATTGTGCAAGCAGCAAAGCTGTTGTTGGTAGTTTCAGTCCCTCAGCATCAGCCAGGAGGAGAGCTGCTAACTTCATTAGTCTTTTTAGGGGAAATAAAGAGCAGTTGTTTTGCTCGTCAGTCTAAAATTCAGCTGATTTCAGTTTGGGAATGAGCCGCCTGCCTCTTCATCTGGGTGTGTGCGTGTGCTTGTTGCTGCTTCATAGCGCTGATGGTACGAGAAGGCAGGTGTGTTTGTGCTTGTTGAGTTTAAAGAGGCTCCTGGGAGTAGAGGAGGACAATGGGTGGCTTTTTGCTCCAGCTTCATCCTCATCCTCCATCCATATATTTTATGTCTGCTGGTGATGTGGGACATCATTCACTTTTGGTTCTAAATTGTGTCTGCAAATAACTTGTTCATTGGCTAGTTTGGTTTTGGTGAAGAAAAACAGATACGGCATTTGCTCGTGTCAAAAATAGTTTATAGCTTTCCCCTGATTTCATTTTCCTAAAAGTTTTTAACCACTCTGGAGTTGCTCCCACTGAGAGGTGCCGAGCAGGGGTGGGCATACTAGTTGCCCCCATCTTAGTGCCTGTACGTTGGGGTTTACCCCAGTGAATGAGAGGGTACCCTCCCTCCGCCTACGTGTGGGGGGACGGGTTCTGACTGTGATCTGTGCTTATGCACCAAACTACAGTTCAGACTACCCACCCATTTTGGAGACCTTGGAGGGGGTGCTGGAAAGCGCTCCTTCCGGTGACTCCCTCGTTCTGCTGGGTTAGATCAGGTAGGCCCAAACGTATCACGAGGGCCTGCTGGGAACGTCTGGCAGAGTCTCCTGTAAGAAGGAGCTTCAATTCCCACCTCCGACAGATTTTCCAAAATGTTCTGGGGGAGGCAGGGGACATTAAGTCTGAATGGACCCTGTTCCGTGCCTCCATTGTTAAGACGGCCAACTGGAGCTGTGATCGCAGGATCATCGGTGCATGTCGTGGTGGCAACCCCCGAACCCGCTGGTGGACACCGGCAGTTAGGGATGCTGTCAAGCTGAAGAAGGAGCCCTATCAGGTCTTTTTGGCCTTTGGGACTCCAGAGGCAGCTGACGGTACCGGCAGTCCAAGCGGAACGCGACTCGGGTGGTCGCCAAGGCAAAAACACGGGCATGGGAGGAGTTCAGTGACACCATGGAGCAAGACTTCCGTACGGCTTCGAGGAGATTCTGGTCTACCATCCGGCGCCTCGGGGAGAAAGCAGTGCGCTACCAACACTATCTATAGTGGGGACGGTGTGCTGCTGACCTTACTCAGGACGTTGTGGATCGGTGGGCAGAATACTTCAAAGACCTCCTCAATCCCAGCGACACGTCTTCCAGTGAGGAAGCAGAGTCTGGGGACTTTGGGTTGGCCTCTCAAATCTCTGGTGCTGAGATCACTGAGGTCGTTAAAAAGCTCCTCTGTGGCAAGGCTCCAGGGGTGGATGAGATCCGCCCGGAGTTCCTTAAGGCTCTGGATGTTGTGGGGCTGTGTTGGCTGACGTGGTTCTGCAATATCGTGTGGACATCGGGGCAGTCCCACTGGACTGGCAGACCGGGGTGGTGGTCCCCTTATTTAAAAAGGGGGACTGCAGGGTGTGTTCCAACTACAGGGGGATCACACTCCTGAGCCTTCCTGGTAAGGTCTATTCAGGGTTTCTGGGGAGGAGGGTCTGTCAGATTGTTGAACCTCAGATTCAGGAGGAGCGATGTGGTTTTAGTCCTGGCCGTGGAACGCTGGACCAGCTCTATACCTTTAGGGAGATCCTGGAGGGTGCATGAGAATTTGCCCAACCAGTCTACATGTGTTTTGTGGATTTGGAGAAGGCGTTTGACCGCGTCCCTCGGGGGGCCCTGTGGGGGGTACTCCGGGAGTATGGGGTACCAGGCCCTCTGATACGGGCTGTTAGGTCCCTGTATGACCGGTGTCAGAGCTTGGTCCGCATCGCCGGCAGTAAGTCGGGCTCGTTCCCAGTGAGAGGTGGACTCCGCCAAGGCTGCCCTTTGTCACGATTCTGTTCATAACCTTTATGGACAGGATTTCTAGGTGCAGCCAAGGTGTGGAGGGCATCAGTCTTGGTAGCCTGAGGATCAGGTCTCTGCTTTTTGCAGATGATGTGGTCCTGTTGACTTCATCAGAACGTGATCTTCAGCTTTTGCTGGAGCAGTTCGCAGCCGAGTGTGAAGCAGCTGGGATGAGAATCAGCTCCTCTAAATCTGAGACCATGGTCTTGATTTGGAAAAGGTAGAATGCCTTCTCCGGGTCAGGGATGAGGTCCTGTCCCAAGTGGAGGAGTTTAAGTATCTCGGGGTCTTGTTCATGAGTGAGGGAAAACTGGAGCGTGAGATCGATAGGCGGATTGGTGCTGCATCTGCAGTGATGCGGGCTCTGTACTGGTCTGTTGTGGTGAAGAGAGAGCTGAGTCAGAAGGTGAAGCTCTCGATTTACCGGTCGATCTACGTTCCTACCCTCACCTATGGTCATGAGCTTTGGGTAGTGACCGAAAGAACAAGATCACGGATACAAGCGGCCGAAATGAGTTTTCTCCGAAGAGTGGCTGGGCTCTCCCTTAGAGATAGGGTGAGAAGCTCGGTCATTCGGGAGGGGCTCAGAGTAGACCTGCTGCTCCTCCGCATCGAGAGGAGCCAGTTGAGGTGGCTCGGGCATCTCGTCAGGATGCCTCCCTGGTGAGGTTTTCCGGGCACGTCCAACTGGGAGGAGGCCTAAAGGTAGACCCAGGACCAGGGACTATGTCTCTCACCTGGCCAGGGAACGCCTTGGGATTCCCCCGGAGGAACTGGCCCAAGTGGCTGGGGAGAGGGAAGTCTGGGCCTCTCGCCTTAGGCTACTGCCCCTGTGACCCGACTCTGGATAAGCGGATGAAAATGGATGGATGGATGGATGGAAAAACAGATACAGCATTAGCTCATGTCAAAAATAGTTTATAGCTTTCCCATGAGTTCATTTTCCTAAAAGTTTTTATTATCATTGTTTGCTGGATTTGGATCAGGAACGTAGATCACCCTTCCAGCTCTCTTCACCACGACAGACCGGTACAACGTCCACATCACTGCAGACGCAGCACCAATCTGCCTATCAATCTTGCGCTCCATCTTTCCCTCACTTACTTCTCATTATCCTGTTAATCCTCTAACTGTGCTGTGAGTGCTCCGCACTCCTCTAATGCAGTAAAAATCTACAACCCAAAAATCACTTTTCATTGACTACTCCCAGGCTCGTCATCGTTAACGCTCCTGAGTCAAAGCTGCTCTACGTGACAACAAGGAATGTAGATGATGTCATGTTTAACCCGCCGTTCATATTTGGAAGTAAACAAAATCTGGAGGATTATTTCTGTAGTTGCTTTGCTGTAGGTGGTAGCTGTTCAGTGTAACACTGGCCACTAGGATTCTGCTTTTCTTGCTAAACACTGCTTGTAAGTTTAAAAGCAGCAGGTATATTCAGAAAAGTGTTGATGTTCTTATAACTACCTTTTAGATGCAGATATAAAACGCAGCGTGAGCTCCAGCAGCAGGTCGTTTCTCAGCTCAGAGTCCATGTAAGTAACCCAGATGCCTTAGCAGCAAGTCATAACCAGTCCCAGTGTTTTTAAACGGATATCCGTCGTCTGTTTCTTTCCTCCAGCTCTCCATCCTTCCTGCAGTCAAACTCAGCTGAGTCAGTAGCCATGGGTCTGCTCCGGCAGTTTGAAGGCATGCAGCTTCCTGCAGCGTCGGAGCTCGACTGGCTGGTCCCGGAACACGACGCTCCACAGAAGGTACGGCGTTACTGTAAAACCCTGAGCAGAATTTAGTCTTTAAATGAAAAGTTGCAGGGCTGGGAGTTTTTATCCAAGGGTTGTGATGCAATTTAGAAAACGATCATCCAAGTGCCTTTCTTAGCCTCTAAACTTTGAATTTTGTTGTCTCACAGCTGCTGCCCATTCCCGACTCTCTGCCGATCTCTCCTGATGATGGCGAACACGCAGACATCTACAAGTTGAGGATTCGTGTCCGAGGAAACCTGGAGTGGGCGCCACCTCGACCTCAGATCATCTTCAACATTCATCCTGCCCCAAAGTGAGCCAACTCTGACTCTTCCTTTGTGTTTTATTCTTTATGTCAACAGCAGGATCCGCAGTAAGGATGGAAACACAAAAACAACCCTACAAACGCTGCAAAATGTCTGTTACTTGTATTTCAGGAGGAAGATGATTGTCGCTAAGCAGAACTACCGTTGTGCTGGCTGTGGCACCCGTATCGACCCAGGTATCCCTCACAAACACAGAGCCATGACTGAAAAGAATATTATGCTTTCCTTTAAATCCTAGTCCACCCTCAACCATTCCTCCATTAATTAGCCAGTCACCAAACACCTAAAGTTCTGATTTCTTACCCCCAAATTCCACTACCTCCGCTCCGCTCCGGTCCGCCCCCGCCTTCCGCAGCCGCTCGCTTCCGAACTCAATTTTACTGGTACCTGCTCTACAACGGCTCCGCTCCGGTGCGGAGACCTGAGGTGCGCAAACAGGCTTGCGCGGGATTTTCGAGATCTTGCGATACAGTCCGATCAATAAACGCGGAAGTTAGATCCAAACACCCGTTGTGTGGGAGAAGCATCGAAATGAACCGTTTAATCTGCCCATCATTTGTGTTGAGAGATCAGCAGTGTTTGGATCAACAAAGTGTGACTACTTTGATAGTGGAAACTGTATTTATGGCTTACTTTTGTGCATTTAAAGTTCAGCCGCCATTGATAGTTGTTAAAGGTTGCTAAACCTGTGCATATGAAACAAAAAACGCCTTTTGTTTATCGATTTATTGTGAAAAACGGAAGTTGTGCTTGCTCCTTTTCCTGTTGGGCCGTTGTGATTTCTGTCCATTTACTGCGGAGGTGCTCCGGCGTCCGGCAAAAATAGGATCGATTCTATTTTTGCCGGAACAGAGGGCGGCGCACTGCGCCGCACTGTCGGAGCACGGCCGCAGTAGTGGAATTGCTCTGGTTGACTACAACGGGACCGATTTTGCTCCGGCGTTCGTGTCGGAGCGGAGCGGAGGTAGTGGAATTTGGGGGTTAGTTACTTCTGCAATCAGATCTTCTACAAGACTTCAGTGTGAAATTATTCCCAGCTGCATCAGTTGTCTTATTATTTATTTTTTATGTGTAAAACTTTCATGCAGAGAAATCCTTGAGAATCAGAATCATTTAATTTTTTCTTTGCTTTGACTCTGAATGTCTCTGCTGCTCCAGACTACATCCGGCGCCTGCGCTACTGCGAATATCTCGGCCGCTACTTCTGCCAGTGCTGCCATGAGAACGCCCAGGCCGTCGTACCTGGCCGAGTGCTCAGAAAGTGGGACTTCAGCAAGTGCTACGTCAGCAACTTTGCCTGGGACCTGTTGAGCAAAATAGCCGGAGATCCTCTGTTCAACCCCAGCGACATCAACAGCGGTCTGTACAAGAAGATTAAAGCCCTGGAGTCCGTCAGGGTGAGTCTGGAGGCAGCGTGGCTCCTGGACAGCGTCACAGCTGGTTACGAGCGTCTGTAGCTGTTGTTCATGGGGGTTGAGTTAAAGGGCAAACTTGTGACTCGCTTTTTGAGTGGAAAATTTAAATCAACAGGGACATTCGTTTCTTTTAGCCAAAGTTAGTGTGATGCTAAAACAAAGCAGCTTTCTGTTTAATGTTACAAAACAGATGAGAAGCTAACATCTGTATCCACCTACTTTAAATCAAATGACCTACTTATTTATTTGTTTCTGTTTTATCGTCACCACGTTTGTTTATAAAAGCGATTTCAGCAGCCAAACTCTGAACGCAGCTTAGGTATAAAACCTGTTACACACACCAGGAAACCCAGATTACAATAAAAAAAATAAACACACAACCAATAAACCTAAAACATATCTAGATACCAGGAAAGTCAGTGGTATTAAGATGAGCTTTCAGTCGACTCTAAAAACCTGCAGGTCAGTGCCTTTCCAGTAGAAGCGCATTCCATAGCTTAGGCATGGAAAATGAGAAAGCTCCACTCCCTTTGGGTCCACTCTTGGAAGCACCGGCAGGTCGAGATGTAATGACCGAAGCTCACCAGCAGGAGTTCACTGGACCACAAGGTCAGATGAAAGAGCTGGAGCCGTCTCCTCAGACACTTAAAAACAAAGGGTAGCACCTGTAATGATTGAAATTACATGTTATTTAATAAGCCATAAGGTGTAGGATTCCATACGAAATATGAAATCCGCCTTATGGATCTGTGAGGTTATTTTAAACCAGAAGATTGGAACTTTTTATTGCAGGGATTAGATAACAGCTTCGTATTCACTCAGAGACAACAGAAGAGAGAGAGAGAGTCAAGTTTAAAAGTTTAAAAATTTATTACTAAACAAATTAACGTAGACTAACTTTAAACACTAAATGTATGGTGTAACTAAGGTGGATGAGACGGTGAATGGGGTGAGGTGGAAGGTTGCTCAGAACCAGCAAATCCGAAGAAGCGATTAGTTCTGATGGGAACTGAAGGTGATGTCTTCGCGCTAAGCTTTGATTAGGAGATTCATAAACACATTCGACGCCATTTGTCGGCCTACGTACCCTTAGCGGAAGCCCCCGTTAGATCCGGAATGTCGAGGTCCAGCTTGACCTTTTCTGGAACCGAAGCCAGTAGGAAAAGCAGCGGTTGCCGACCAGACCAGTCTGTGAGATACTTCCGGGTCACAACAATTTTGTTGGCGTTTGGTGAGACCCCCCCTGGGTTGTGATGGTTCAGCTGTTATTCTGAAAGGAACCGTTGCAGCAGTTGTTACAGCGACAGATTTTATCCAGCTTGTCGTTGGTTCTTTCGGTTGAAGAGGAGAGTTACGGATTGGCCACTCCGACAACTTCTCTAGAACGCCTTGAACTGGCGTTAGAGATGACGTGGGAATAGTTTTATACTTCGGATGTTTTGGTTTATGGTCGAATGAAAAGTTGACAGACCACCAAACACTACCAAAACCCCGCCTCCGTCAGATCTGGCAGATTCTGATTGGATCAGTTAAACAATGTGTCATGTCTTTTAACGCTACGTGAAATCAGTCCTAGTGGAACATTTAAAGTCATATTACTCATCATATTCTATAGGATTATAATAAATTAATTAATATTTTGATTTCACAGATTGGTCACGTCTTATTCATTGACTAACACTTTGCTTGATTAGCTTTATTAAAACAGAGTTCTTTGATTAATTAAAAGGAGAGAGTCCACTCTTCATTCTTCTGTTGAGTGAAAAGAAGCAGGTTAGAAGCAAATGCATGAGACCTTGAGGCCATATCTCATGCAGACTAGTTGTGTGCAGAGGAGGAGGGGGGGGGGGGGGAGACAGTCATTTCATTCCGTTACACACCTTAAACCGGGAGCCAGTGCCCGTTAAAAACCTGGCTGGAATGAAAATAACCAGAATGTTTTGTGTCTGTTTCAGGTTCTGAGGTTGCAGCTGTTTCACATGAAAAACCTTTTCAGGACCTGTCGCTTCTCTAAAGAGTAAGAGCTTGTTTAGTCTTTCCAGCCAGCAGCACGATGCTCCCACTAAGGAGGGCTTCACCAGTTCCCTTCTGCTTTTGTCCCTCAGGGTGCTCGACCACTTCGACAGCCTGCCAGGCCATCTGACGGAGGACCTTCACCTCTACTCGCTCAACGATCTCACCGCTGTTCGCAATGGAGAACTGGCCCCCCGGCTGAGAGAGCTGCTGAAGCTTGGCTCCATCCACGTCTCTCAGTGTGTGGTACGATAACCGCCGGATTGCTGTCCGTGTTCCTGTGTTCCATGGTAATACGAGTCGGAATAAATGCAGATTCTCGTTTTCATCTTCCCAGCTGTGCCAAGCAAAGGGCTTTGTGTGTGAGTTCTGCAACAACGACAAAGACATCATCTTCCCCTTCCAGCTGAGCAAGTGCCAGCGCTGCGAAGGTGAGCCCACAACCGGAGCCCCCTCTTCCCGAATTTCTTTCCCAGTTAACTGGAGGGACTGGAAGATTCCCAGCCCCCGTAGGCTGGCCAGGGCCCTCTCCAGGGACAGGAGGGAGGGGGAGGGCGGGGAGGAGGGCTTACAGCTGGACTCGGATAAGGAGGAGAAAGTGGGGAATGAGGGGGGATTTCAAGCTTTTACTCCTGTGGAAATTCCCAGGAGAGTTCCTTGGATTAAAGTTACTGAGGAGGATCAGGATACGGCAGAGAGTGTGGAATCAGAGAGGGAGAAGAGGGAGTCTAGCAAAGAGAAGGATAATGGGAGAGGGAGTGGAGATAAACATTCAAAGAGGGAAAAAATCAGTTTTTTAAAAGTTCTACAGATCAAGAGATTTAAGGAAAAAACCAGGAACAGTAGCGACATTGAAACGTGCAGCAGCCTGGAAAGTTTAGATGATGTCGGACGTGGGACGGGTTCAGCATCAGCAGGTCTAGTTGGCAGGCTCTCGGAACAAAAGAGTGGCAGTGAAAAGGAAATGAAACAGAAAGAGGAAGATGCAGACGAAGAGTTTATTAAAAGATCCTCGGAGAAAGCAGACGGAACAGAAGAGGAAGAGAAAGCTCCGATCTGGGCCGGAGGTGAAACGTTAAAACCAGAAAAGTTCAGGAACGTAATTAAACCGCACCGGATGGCATCTTTGTTCTCCAAAAAGACGGGCAGAGAAAAGGATGGAGAGGGAGGTAGAAGTGAAGAGGAGAGGGGGATACTTGAGGTGAAGGGCTGTGAGGATCCAGCGAGGGCTGCAGAAGCTAAATGGAGAAATCATAAAACCCGTAAAGCCAGGAGGGTGAGCAGAGGGAGGATGAAGAGGGGGGGAGGAAGAGACGGAGGGGAGGAATGCAGAGAGGTGAAAAGCGGAAATCAAAATATTGTTTATTCCTGAAATCCTGCAACATTTTTATTTTGTCCACTCCACTTTGTGTGTTTCTGGAGGCTAATGGATCCAGATCCATTTGTCTGTGTTGTATGACCATCGCTAAACATTGCACCTGACTATAGGAGCCATTTTGAAATCCTTTCATTAACATCACTGATTTTGCACTTTTTATTTGTTAAATGTTGTAGCTTATCGAGCGGACATGAGGAAAGGTCTCAGAAACTTTCTGTTTGAACAAGAATGATTCTGTCTAAAATCACTGATTAGAGCTTTTGGGGGTGGTGGTGTTTTCTTATATTAGTCCACCTTCTCAGAAGCTTTCACACACCTTCTGTCCTCCTCCTGAGTTCCCGGTAGACCTGTGGTGTTGCTCTGACTCCTACTGGTGGAGGTGTTGGTGGTTTCGTGTCTCAGCTCAGCTCTGCGCTACCTCTGACCACACTCCAATTGCTGCTAAATGATAAGATGCTAGCGACGCATCACTCCTGTTTTTTTATGTCGTTGCTCTGGTCATGAGTTTCAGTTTGGATTCCTTCTGGCCCTTGTGGCGAGCGATTGTACTTTGTACCCTGTAGCTGGTTTTTAAGGCTATTTTAGATTTATCTTTATCTGAACATGAAATAAACATTAATTTTTTTTAAAAATGGACATTGCCTCTCATTTCATCCATCCATTCTCATCCTTTCTGGAGCAAATGACAGATAAAGGACATTAGAATAACAACTGTGGAGGCTTAAACTCCTTTGATTTGATTTGATGTAATTAGGACGAGTCCGGACAGGTTCAGGCTGTACCCGAGAGAAAACACAACCCTCCTCTAACCTCTCCTCGGTCTGCCTCGCCGTCTTCAACCTCGCAGCCTTTTATACCCCTCCTCTTCCTCACCTCTCCTTTGTGATTGGCTGCTGCCGTTGTACAACTCCTTTTCTTGCCAGCTAACTGGTCAAACTGGTTGACGGCTGTAATGTTTTTCTGTTTTCTCCTCCTCAGAGTGCCATGCCTGCTACCACCACAGCTGTTTCCGGGCAGGGAAGAGCTGTCCTCGATGTCTGCGGCTGGCAGAGCGCAGGGAGAGGATGGCCCGCAAAAACATGGAGGAACAGGAGGACGAGGGCGGCGGGACGTAGGAGTCTGTAACCTCGGGAATGAAGAGGAGAACTGGTCAATGTTGATTGTACTAACTGTCTTACTTCCCGTCTCCCTCCTCTCGGTTCTTAAAAGAAATATTTTCTTTAATCCTCTTTAAAAAATGCACTTTATTTTATTAATGCGTCCTGCATGAAAAGATTGTGACTTTTACACACCGAAGTCGGATAAGGCTTATTTTTTCTAATTAGTATTTTCATTAAAAGTCTAAAACTGATGGTTTAATCCAACTTTCTAGCTTAGAACATCTGAGTGACGAGCCCTTTACAGTTCGAGCCGCTGAGTTTCAACTTGTGTGAATCATTAAACCTGCCGCCTTGCACGTTTCTTATGCCGCCATGTTTGTAGTTTAATGTGCAACAAGAGCCAAAGACTGTCGGCGCTTGTGATATTTGTAGTAAAATCTAACGCACCTGTGTTGACTTGCTCAGACAGTTTTTCTGTTTCCTCTGCTGCTGAGTTTAGTTGATTTTAGAGGTTTAGTTTTATTTTTAAAGAATGACACTGGAAATTTAACAAGTTTTATAGGATTTCAGTGAGACAATTAGATTTTTTTTTACTTTAATTCAAATCTCCAGCAGAGGTTTAATTTGTTTTTCCCCTTTTTTGCTCAAATGTTTAATTTTAAGCTATTAACTTGGACACACTGTTGTGCCTTTGAGACCAGTAAACAAATGAGGAGGAAGGTAATGGAGGCGTTGCAAATACTTTTAAGAAATCGCTGAAGCTCCGTGTGTGTGTGTGTGTGTGTGTGTGTGTGTGTGTGTGTGTGTTTGTGTGTGCGTGTGTGTGTGTGTGTGTGTGTGTGTTTTGACCTGATTTGCTTTCAGCTCTGAGCTGATTTCTAACACACGTTTTGTAACAACAGTTTTCCGTTTTGGTTAACTGCACTGATCTGGTGTCTGTAGAGTTCTTTCAGATGTTCGTTTTAGGAACATTCATCTTGAGACGTTTCTGTTTCTCTTTGGGTATCTAACATTGTGCATGTGTGGGGGTGTTGCACTTTTGGGAATCAAACTGCTCATAGTTACTTCTCTCCACGGTTAGTGGAAGAATAAATGATTCCAGAACTGATTTATTCAGTCCTGTTGCACTTTGACTCATCTGTTGAGCTCACACATCTGTCCCATGTGGTTACTACTGGACCAGTGAGGATGCAGAGTTTAATGTTGCATCTGATTTTTGTTGATTCATAGAAAGTTTCGTTATCGCTTCTAGATCATTTGTCCTTTCTTTAATCAAAAGCTTGACAGTGCATCCTTGGGGTAACTAACAAACCAATCCTAGTTGGTTGTTGTTCAACGCTTCGTCCTGAAACTCCTGAACTAAACAGAAAAACCTCCTCAGCTTGTTTGTTTTTGAACTGCCTTTAACCAGGAGGAGTTTAAAGTGCACTAAAGATTTACTGTTTATGATTGAAAATGTTACTTATTGTTATAATTAATATTTATCTTAATTTGCTTTGAGTCTGTGATTATATTGACAATAAATGACTGGCAAGACTGTTAACAGTGGTTTTGAAAGTTTTTGTGTCAACTTGTATTTATCTGGTCTCGTGGAATTATTTTCATAATAAATTTATTAGTAAAGAACTGAAAAAACCTTTTCAGTTTTAGTTTTGTGTCTGGAAGACCAGAATGATCTGAAGGTTTAATTTGTTATAAGATGGGGAAAAGTAATATTTTTATATCTAAGATCAATGTTTAAGACTCAAGTTTTTGCTGAAATTTTATTTTCTTGCTCTTAAATTAAGTCAGAAGATAAACGCGTTTAAAATTGGTAATTTTTCCTTTTTTATTTTGCTGACTGGACTTTCTGTATAACAAACAGGTATAAATGTGATCAGAAGATTTTTATGAACATAATTTACAAAACAGAAAACCCCCCACACCTGATTTACCAAAAAAGTGAGATGTTACATGGGCCTCTGCGCCCCCTACTGGTGAAAACCTGACAGGATGATGTCTTGAACTTGAATTTATGGGTTTAAAAACACAATAAATGAAACATTTTTTAATTAGTCAAATGAAACCAAACTGATCTTGAGACATTGATTGTAGCCATTTTCACAAGTCATGCAGCGTATGTGTTATTCCAGATCCAGATACTCGTTATGGTGATGAAGCTCACAACGATGAAGACGATGTACAAGCCGAACAGCAGGCGGTCGATTATTATACCGATCATGTTCCATTCCTCCGAGGTTTTGGATACCTGGAAGTATTTGTCCACCTCCAGGCGGATCGCTTTGAGATCGCTGCTCAGCTTCTTCAGCTCATCAAGGGCCGGTTCTGGAGGTCCTGTTGGGTTGACCTGGGCCTGAACAGCTGGGAGTGGATCTTTCTGAAGGCTCTGACTTCCTGAAGTGGCTGTGGTGTTTACTGTTGTCTCTGATATGAAAAGGAAAAGAAAATTTTTGGGGGTGATATTTTTGAAGTATTTCCGTTCTTAGTCCATAATTAATAAGTGTTAAAATGAACAGTTGATGAATTCCAAAAACAACCATTCATTGGCCTCCAAATTAACAGTTTTACAGAAAATAACTTTTCAAACTGACTATAGTTTACTTCATCTGTACAAAAATCTATTCAGTCTATTTATCTTTGTAATAATACTGAAGCATATACGCCTACTGTGGGAGCTTTTAACTCTTAGGGCCATCGTCTATATTGGACTCTTCCACTCACATCATCAGTGCCGTGCAGAGACCTTTGAAGGGGCGGGTGGTCAAAGTAAAAAAAAAAAAAAAAAAAATTTGGGCCATATTTTTTAACCAGATTCACAATCCAACATGTTTCTAAAGCATCAGATAGAATGAGGCCATTGGGTTCAAAGAAAATAATATAAACTAGGCTAAATATTTCATGTTGTGTTATTCATCCATCCATCCATCTTCTGAGCCCGCTTTGTCCACGCAGGGTCTCGGGGGGGGGGGGGGGGGGGGGGGGGGGGGGGGGCTGGTGCCTATCTCCAGCAGTCAATGGGCAATCAGGTGGGGTACACCCTGGACAGAGAGCCAGTCCATCGCAGGGCAACACAGAGACACACAGGACAAACAGTCACACACACTCACACCTAAGGACAATTTAGACAGACCAGTTAACCTAACAGTCATGTTTTTGGACTGTGGGAGGAAGCTGGAGTACCCGGAGAGAACCCACGCATGCACAGGGAGAACATGCAAACTCCATGCAGAAAGACCAGGACCTTCTCGCTGCAAGGCAACAGCTCTAACCACTGTTCCACTGCGCAGCCCATGTTGTGTTCTTCATTCAAGGTAATTTGATTCCATTAATAATTGTTTAGATTTATAAAGCTGACTTATTTCTAGGGATGTTACGACCACATGTTTTGCCCCTGAGCCGAGCTCAAGTTATTCAGTTCTGATTATCTTCCAATACGGAGTTCTGTTGCGATATGAGGTCATGCAATGCATTAAAAAAGAAGACAAATGGAGAACACATCCAAGTTGGCTTATTTTTGTATTTGTCATTTTGTTAATTTTTCCTGAAAAAGTCACTCGTCCAGAAAGTGCATTGAACAGTGTGCAACAAAAGAAAGATATCCAGTGTGATAAATACTGGCTGATACCATTTTCTTGTCTGTAGGAAATTCCTGATCCAGTTCTATGATCTCATTCTGAACTTTACACTAAACTTGAAAGCTCTGCTACCAACCTAACATCCTCATCCTGAATACCAACAACCCCACATTCATCTAGAATCTAATATGAAATCACATTATATAACATTTAAGTTTCCACCTTCACACACACACACACACACACACACACACACACACACACACACACACACACACACACACACACACACACACACACACACACACACACACACACACACACACACACACACACACACACTGACATTGTTTCATACCATTTCCAGAGTGCATGGCCATATGTTTGCTTCATGGTGCTGATCCAGAATATTTCTCTCAGTTTAAGAATTAACAATTATAAATACATAATCAAGTAGCCTAATAAAATATATGTATTTATGCTTACATTCACTTTGTTTGATTAACTTTGTATTTATTTTTTATTCTTTCCAGGTCACTGTTCCTCTGGTTTTCAGGCACCAAATTACCACCCAGTCCTGTTTCACCTTTTAATCAGCACCACCAATTTTACAGTGTGAGGATTGATATTGGGCCTAAGCAGCTGTGGGTATCGTATCTACTCAGGGTCCTGCGCCTGCCAATGACGTCACACTACAGCAAACCCACTCGGCTTTCTCACAGAAGTTTTGGAAATAGTTCAGCAGGTTTGTTAAAAAATTCTTGTTTCTTACCGCCTAAATGTTTTTCATAACTGTAATTTTTATTAAAACACCATATTTTCTTCATTTAGTAAAGAATGTGAAGCTACCAACGTCAGACTGCCAAAACACACATCAGTTCCTATATTTGATATTTTTAAAATGTATTTGCATAATTAGCAGCTGTTACGGCTTCCAGCCTGACCAGTGGAGAGAAGCAGCAGAATCACCAAGTCCTGCTGAATCAGCCTGACACTGCCCCTCCTCCTCTCTCCCGGGGCTGCTGAGGAGCACAGCTGCAAGGAATCTTCACTGATTGCCATCACCTGTATAAAAGGGCTGTGCCTTCAGTAGTCTAGGAGGCAGCAGTGCAGGGGTTCTGCTGTCCTCCTGGTTTTGTGTAGGTTTAACCCCTGTTCGTTTGGATTTGTTTGAGTTTTAAACTTTGGTTGGTTTTAACTCTAAAGGAGAAATTGTGGATGATCCAGAGGGATCTTCGTGTGTTTGGTTTTTAAAAGGTTAACTCTGTTTGTGGCATTTTTACTGACCTCAGTTTGAAACACCTTCAGTTGTGGTAAAACTTTTAAAATGAGTTTTTACCAGGTGTTTTAGTCAGTAGAATGTTTTTAGACTTTTATCAACTTCAGGATTTTAAAACACCTTCGTTGCGGCAAAACTTTTAACATAAGTTTTTACCAGGTGTTTTATAGTTGATAATGCGCTTTGTAACGTTAACCTTTTTGAGAAATCAGTTTTGCTCGTGTTTTAATACCTTTTTGTACAAATAAACCCATTTTAAACTCCTCCACCAGTTCTTATGTTCTCCCCCTCCTTCACACTTTTAACATCTCATGTCGGGGACGTAACATAAATGGGGGCTCGTCCGGGATTTTTTTTTTTAAATATTAACAGACCGTGAAGGAATGTACAAATCCCCTGGTGGTGGTAATTTTAATGGTGTTTTGTTTGTTTTAAAGGTTTTAAGCTTCAGATGACTTGGATGACTGGCGGGTGCATCTGGAGGCCCCCGCCCCGCAGGAGGTTCCAGCCAAATCTTACAGAAGTGGACCAGAGATGACCCCTACAGGCAGGCCCAGATGTTTCACCTAGTGGGTTAGTGTTGGTGATTCACTTCACCATCTCGGGAGCACCCCAGGAAGGGCTGTGGCTAACCCAATCCCTTTGCTGGTTTGAATGTGCCTTGGCACATGTGCTTAATCTGCCCGCCCGCAAAGTGCACGAAGAGTAGGGATTTTTAAATGGCTGTTATCTGGGTCTCTCCTGTTTTAATCCTCCAGTGTCTTTGTCGTCCTTCGAGAGTCTTCGCCCCCGTCCTTCGAGAGTCTTCGCCCCCGTCCTTCGAGAGTCTTCGCCCCCGTCCTTCGAGAGTCTTCGCCCCCGTCCTTCGAGAGTCTTCGCCCCCGTCCTTCGAGAGTCTTCGCCCCCGTCCTTCGAGAGTCTTCGCCCCCCGTCCTTCGAGAGTCTTCGCCCCTCGAGAGTCTTCGCCCCTCGAGAGTCTTCGCCCCTCGAGAGTCTTCGCCCCTCGAGAGTCTTCGCCCCTCGAGAGTCTTCGCCCCTCGAGAGTCTTCGCCCCTCGAGAGTCTTCGCCCCTCGAGAGTCTTCGCCCCTCCCCCCCCTGAGTCTTCGATGCCCCCCCCCCCCTGAGTCTTTGATCCCCCCCCCCCCCCCTGAGTCTTTGATGCCCCCCCCCCCCCCCTGAGGTCTTTGATGCCCCCCCCCCCCCCTGAGTCTTTGATGCCCCCCCCCCCCCCCCCCACCTGAGTCTTTGATGCCCCCCCCCCCCCCCTGAGTCTTTTTTGATGCCCCCCCCCTCGTCCTCCAGTGTTTTTAAGAAAAAGTTTTAAAAGTTGGTGTTGTGGTGTTACTAACTTTTATCCTTTTTCTTGTTTATGTGTGGGGGTGTTACGACTGCCAGCCTGACCAGTGGAGAGAAGCAGCAGAATCACCAAGTCCTGCTGAATCAGCCTGACACTGCCCCTCCTCCTCTCTCCCGGGCTGCTGAGGAGCACAGCTGCAAGGAATCTTCACTGATTGCCATCACCTGTATAAAAGGGCTGTGCCTTCAGTAGTCTAGGAGGCAGCAGTGCAGGGGTTCTGCTGTCCTCCTGGTTTTGTGTAGGTTTAACCCCTGTTCGTTTGGATTTGTTTGAGTTTTAAACTTTGGTTGGTCTTAACTCTAAAGGAGAAATTGTGGATGATCCAGAGGGATCTTTTGTGTGTTTGGTTTTTAAAAGGTTAACTCTGTTTGTGGCATTTTTACTGACCTCAGTTTGAAACACCTTCAGTTGTGGTAAAACTTTTAAAATGAGTTTTTACCAGGTGTTTTAGTCAGTAGAATGTTTTTAGACTTTTATCAACTTCAGGATTTTAAAACACCTTCAGTTGTGGTAAAACTTTTAACATAAGTTTTTACCAGGTGTTTTATAGTTGATAATGCGCTTGTAACGTTAACCTTTTTGAGAAATCAGTTTTGCTCGTTTTTTAATACCTTTTTGTACAAATAAACCCATTTTAAACTCCTCCACCAGTTCTTATGTTCTCCCCCTCCTTCACACTTTTAACATCTCATGTCGGGGACGTAACAGCAGCCATTTTCATTTGTATAAAAGTGGAATTTTTCTGTTTTTTCATGTAAATACATTCATTTATTAAAAAAATTCTTTCATTTTCATTTAGCCCCATTTAATAAAAATCAAGAGCTTCTGATTGTCTCTGTTTATCAATTGATATTTTTGCTTTTATTTTTCCCAGAAGAGACTACAGGACTATAACCGCAAATTTGTTCGAACCAATCAAAATCTTCAGTGTCAACGTTGTAATGCCACAAAATGGCCTGATTTTGAGATCAAAATCTTCAGTGTCAACGTTGTAATGCCACAAAATGGCCTGATTTTGAGATCCTACAGGTTAAGAGCTACAGCCAGGTCAACTTAACCTGGCTATGACACAACCTACAATATTTTCCCCTCACAGGAGACTGGGAATCTGCACGTAGTCCCTTTAATCGGAGCCTGCCTTCCTCACACCAACTGGACTGCAGCTCCGAGAGATAATAAAAAATAAACAATAGCATTCTCTCCTCCAAGGTCCTTCACAGAGGAACTCGTTTAAATGAACTCCTTTATTTCCAGAAGAAAGAAGATTTTATAACTATATGCAATGAAATGTTAATTGATCTGTGCTTAATGATATATGCTTAGCATGTTTATTGGATGAGGTCATCACCAGTTGCACTCATACAAAGACAGAGTAATGTTAACACATGACACATAGTTAACCTTTTGCCCAGATTCATAGTCTCCATATCAAAGAGGGTGTGTCTCTGAGATGCTTGGTAACATCCCTCAAACTTGTCAGCCCCTGATTGGTTGGCCAAATCATAATATCAATTCCTTAAAACTAGATGGCTTTGAGTAATTTATCAGTTCTAGCGCGAGCTTCAGACTGGCCATCTTTAGCACCTCTTTAACCAGCAAGGAGTTTGACACGTTGTCAAACTCTTTTTAAACCTTTTTTGCACCTGCGCAGCTGAGAACAACAAGATAGTACCTTCAGTACAAAGCGAACGCAAACTCCTTCAGAGTTATTTTTAAGACGCTCGGTTTCATCTATCGATGTGACCCGGAGACATCCCGGGACTGATTTGGTCGCATCGAGGTTTCTCTACAAACCACGTGCAGTGGAGTCGTCGGCTCCTTGGCATCTCGGACCCAAACGGGGGTCTCCAGAACGGATGAGGTAGAACACAGCGAGATAGTGTCTGTATGTGGTTTTGATAATAACAACTTTATAGCTTATTTGCAAACCAAATTCTTTATGTGCAGAACTCAGCTCTCTGAGAAACGGAGATTCTGACTCCATTACATTATATTTACACATAAGTTCCAGACACAATCCTTTAGTTCTCATCCACTCACGGTAAATAATAGTTTAAACATTTTGTTAAGTCTTAATTGTTTGTAAAATAGATTCTTAATTTTTATAAACCTGACTGTTGCTTGAATCAAGCGAAGTGTGTACGATCCCTTAATGAATAAAAGAATCCTAGAATCTTCTGACTAAAGCAAATAAAGACAGGCAAGATGATATTCTATATTTAAATAGAGTATTACAGCTTATTGGTCTCAAGTAGTGTTAATAATATAAATAGCTCTTAAAGCAATTTACTTAACCCAATATACTACTTTACAACGTGCTAACGTAACTTTTATGAACATTTTATTGGCCTTGTTCGAGTTGAGCAGCGCCTCACCTGGAAAACAGACGAGAGCAGACGGACGCAGCAGGGGGAGTGGCTGACAGTCGGCATTTAAGTTTTCCTACATGTGTAGCTCACGGGTGACGATGGATGAAGATATTGCGTTAGAGTTCATACTTGTTTAACGTTTTATTTTAATTCCGGTGCCTGTTAGCAACCGAAACACATCCTCACATGCTTGTGGATATCATATAATGCATGTGGAGACATGACTGTAATAATAAGTAAAGGTCATCAGCTGTAGCTTTTGTGTGTTCATAGGAAACGTGACAAAAGAACACAAAACACATTTCTCTTCATGGCCTAGATAGTTGTCATCATCAAGGTAACACGATTTACAGAATACATGCGACAAACTAACATTTCATGTTCTACCACCGGATGTTTGGATCAGAATGGGAACCAATCAGATCTTAGATCAGGTGAGAGCCAGGCGTTTCCCATTATCCCCCAGGTTTTGCAACCATTGGAGAGCAACTGCAGCACCTTGCTCCAAATTCTGCGGCCGCCTTGATCTCACGGGGTTATCGTTGCCTACGTATGCATGACGTCAGAGCAAGTCGGCATCAAGTCGGACACAAATCTAACCGGCATGCACTGCGCCGATCATCGGTGATCGAATCTGCGCAGAACTGGCTCATCTCGAACAAGCTTATTGTAACTTCCACAAGTTCTACGTTCAACCAATCATCTAGTGTGACATCATCGGCAGGCACAGGACTGGCAGCCTGAGCAGATTCCGAACCTGCACCGCTATTGGCTGTTCTCTGATCCTCTGTTCTTAGATGACAAAAGTAGACAGGATACCTGTAAAAGATGGGTTGAGGAAAAGTGTGACCCGGTTGCTCTTCTTCTTTGGAGGGATACAGACCACCACAGCCAGATAACGCAACACGAGGACGCTGAGCCAGTGAGGCACGGCGTTGTAGCGGGTCGAGCTGCACTGGATGTTTGTGATAAAAACTGTCTCCAGCAGGCTGGTCACCATCAGGGCGAGACTGATGGAGAAGAACACGTCTGTGGGGAAACAGTTAAATGCTAATCAGAAAGAAAAATCCCTTTAGGTTATCCATGTTTTTGCAGGTTTGTTTCCTGATATGTATTTAATGTTCCTGATCAGGAAATGATATTTACGTAACAGCTGGATTAACCTGCTGCTTGTGTGCAGGAGGTGTGGCATTAATCACTGAAGCAGAGCAGAACAATCATGCAATCATGTTTAAAGAGGGGTGCCGAAAATGCAGGTTTCCCAAAAGCAAAACATTGAAATGGACGTTTTAATGTGAAAACAAAGACTTTTAATGCCTGTCTGTGGGGCCACTGCCCACTGATTAGTGCTCATTGTCATTTGTCAACTTTATTTATTTGTCCATTTCCTCTTGAATTAAAAGTATATTTTCTTTCCTTTTTTGCTTCCTTGTTTCCCTGCTTATGTTTGCTATCATTCAGGCGCGGTTCTCGGGGGAGTCCATTCTAGGACAAAGGTAGGCAACTCAGATCCTTGAGGGCCGCTATCCAGCATGTTTTAGTTGTTTCCCAGTTCCAAAACAATTAAATCAATGGCCATATCTGCTCATTAGAATCAGATGTGTTAAAGCAGGGAAACAACTAATACATGCAGGATAGCAGCCCCCTTGGACCCCTGGTCTAGAACCGCCTCTGCTATCCTTTTAGACAGACTCTGGCCTTTTCATTCCTTCTTCCTTGAAAAGAAGAGTTCCAGAAAACAACAACACACCCCACTGTGTGACTCACTGATGAGAGGTGTCGTTTCCCCGGTGACGGGCAGCAGGTCGTTCATGATGAGCAGAAAGACGGTGTAGCCCAGGATCAGGGTCATCTTGAAGGAGGAGCGGTCTATGGTCTGAGGGGGCAGCAGGAAGCTGAAGAGGTCCACAGTGATGAGGAAGCAGCTGGGGACCAGCAGGTTCACCACGTACACGGTCGGTCTGCGTCGCAGAATTAACTAAAGAACACCCGGGAATAAACCAAAATCTATGCAAATCCAAAAATCATTTGTTTTCCCACTAAGGCTCTTCTCCTCCACAAAAATTCCTCCACATTTATTGAAATATTAATTTATTTTATGCAGCAAAGACAGAAATGCCACTATGAAGATCCTCAAACCTTTATAGATGGGGGTTTGATATTAAATCATAATTAGTTTCAAATAAGTTTATATGATCTAAATTTTATATTATTTTTGTTTTTTACGTCATCCCTTCTCTTTAATTGTACCTAGAATACTTTTAATAGTTTCTGCACGGCTGAAATGCATTAAATGAACTCTAAATGAAACATGTTTAATGAGAGAAAACCAGTGAGGATTAGTGTTTTTTTAACATATAATTATTGTAACTAAAACTCTGTTTGCTTTCAATGACTCAAGCAGTTCAAATTAATTTTGAAAAACCAGCCTATCAGTCAGTATTTACTAAAGTTTTTACCACTGATATTCACATAATTAAAAAGCACTTCAGTCTGTATTTTAATAAGCTTTTAAAAAACATGAAGTGATCAGAAGAGATCCAACTTACATAATATTTAATCTCAGAATAATCTCCCGCGTTTAACCCCAGGGTGGAATGACCCAATCCGATATCTGCCAGCTCCCACTCCCCGTTGTTCACTATCACCTTGCTGGACTCTTGCAGGATCTCCTTAGTCGTGTTACCGGCGATCATCATTATATCTGTAGCTTCAGGAACATGTTTTTGCTCAATTAAAACATTTTTAATCAAAGTTAGATTAAAATACTGGATATTGCTCCGATAATCTGATGGGATCTACATATTGTAGCCTTACCAAAGTGCAGATATGAACCAAATGTCAGAGAGCAGTTTTGGATATCAAAGGGGAAATTGTAGATTCCTAACTGGCAGGAGCTGACCACCCTGAGAGGTTTGTCATCATAAACATGACCTGTGTTGTCCAGGTAGACGTATGGAGTTTTAGGAGACTTGTCTTCATCTATGCTGGAATTTTAAAAGAAAAAAGGCAAACATTTAAATACATTTATTTTATCACCGGACATCCCTCCACTCTCCTCTACAGCCAACACAAAACAGTAAGACCTCACGTCCTGCATTATCTCAAGCTGCTGGTCCCTTGTCCTGATTTACTAGAATGTTCTTTCAGATCCTCCCTGGTCAGGAAAGTCCCTCAAAACATAACAAATAATAACAATAATAACCCTACAACAACTACTACTACTACTGTTACTACTACCACTACTTCTACTACCACTACTGTTACTACTACTGCTACTACCACTGCTACTACCACTATTACAACTACCACTACTGCTATTACTACTGCTACTATTACTACTACCACTATTACTACTACCACAACTGCTACTACTACTGCTACTACCACTACTACCACCACCACCACTACTACTACTACTATTACTACTACTACTATTACTACTACCACTACTACTACTACTACTACTACTACTACCACTACTACTTCTACTACTACTACTACTATTACTACAACAGCAACAACTACTACTACTACTATTACTACTACCACTACTATTACTACCACTACTATTACTACTACTACTATTACTACTACCACTACTGCTGCTGCTGCTACTACTCTACTACTACTACTACTACTACTACTACTACTACTACTACTACTACTACTACTACTACTACTAATGACTTGCATTTTGAAGTTGTTGCCAGGAACTTACAACTCTGAGATCTGAACATCTGGAACCCAAATCTTCTCTCGAAGTATGGAGACTCTTTCTGCTCCACATTCCTTCTCATCCCAGCTCAGTCCTGCTATATCCCACTCCTACAAAACACCAAACATTCAGGATGAACTTGATATGTTCCACCAAAGAAATTTAGTTGGAAAAAATATTTATTTTCTAAAGACCTACCAGGACTTGCCATAAGACTGTTGACAGGGTTTGAGATTTATCATCCTATCAACAAAACATTAAAAACCATTTAATTTGGTATGTAAAATATACTGCATAAAATACATTTAAAATGCTTCTTCTTGAAGAATTAGCTAATAAATTAATCTTCTTGATGTTCTTTCTAAAGCCCCAGAGTGTCAAGATTTTCCGCCCCTTAGCACCACACAGGTCAGAGAAGGCATTACAGTTAAAGTTGCCCACACACATCAAAAAGACAATGTGAAAACACCACACTGTGCTGCTACTTCTGCCACATGTAACACATCTGCCGCACCCTCTGCAGGTCTGCCATGTCTGATGCGTCTGCCACTTTACTTGTCTCCCTCTCCCCCGCGGCCGCACATGGACTGCCACAGTTATAAATGACTTCTATCTTTAAATCCAGTTATCACATGTAGTTAGATCAGGGCAAGCAACCCAAGTGGAAGGAGCAGAATTTCCCCAAACCAGCACAGCTTCCACAGAGAGAGTCCCATACAACGTTTAGCATGGAGAACTTGCCAATGCACGAAAGCAAAATGCAAAGCATTATAACTTGAACAAGTTTGTAAACGTCATATACAGAATTTGAAATTGAACAAGTAAAAATATCACACATTGTGGCTTTAAACTGTTGTAATTTTAGTTACACACGTGAGACTTCAAAGATAATGTTAAAATTGCATTATGTAAGAAAGGAGAAAGAATGACATCCTGTGGACAAACTTAGGAACTGCAGCCCCTTTTCAAGAAAAAACAAGTGACTTTCCCACTACTGTTTTGTGAGTTTCATGGCCGTTGCCAGCTACGGCTGAAGATTCTAGGTATCGAGAGAGGACGAGACAGTAAATTGATGTGTAGATAAATAGACTTCACTGTAATATTAAGCCTGGGGCATACTGGAGGCAGACACACCGTGTTGCTCATGAGATTTTGAGAAGTCAAGTGGTCAAACAGGAATGCCGCGCCACAGAACATTTCTTGGAAGGTGGAAGGTTGCGCGATAGGCACAACATCACGCGGGACTTGAGAACAAGAAGTGGAAAGTGACTCTATTGTTTATATGTGATCAGACTTGCCATTGTGTTTTGTGAGACTGAAATTAATTAAAAATGGGCAAGTACACTGTTTATTAGAGTATTTTAACATTAATAGTACTTTAAAGTTATCAAAACTATGGCTGGGTTTGTGCCATAAAGCCGTTCTGTGTCGTAATGTCTGTTGTAACGTACTCCACAATCTTGTAAACAGCCATGGCTTCGCCACGCCGCGGCGCTTGAGATGGTACTGATGCTTATCTTCAGTGCCTCGATGAGTCGCTCCCCGTGTGCCCACTCTCATTAACTATAATGGCTTCTACTCAAAATGATGACGCAGGCGCGTCTGCCTCCGGTGTGCCCCAGGCTTTACATAGTGTAGCGTCATGAATGTCCTGTTTTTGACCTAAAGGTCTTGATCTGCTGTGTTTGCTCGAGCAGAGACATAAAGTCTCTGACACAGGCCTAATCTACATGAGATATTGGCCAAGGTCTTTCATGCACTCTGCTCATCTGAACTGCTTCACCTATTACAGCTCACGACGAAGAACTCTCCTGATAAACACATAATCAAACAACTTTGTTATTGCCAATAATAATGGGAGCCCAATGTTCAATCAATCTGTGAAATGACAATGTCATTACTTGATATTATAATCCTGTGATCAGTAGTATTTTACAAGCAATTATAATCCTGGACATTTGCACTAGACACTGATGACACGTAATGCTAAAGTCACACAACACATTTCCTTTTGTCTGATCCAATCAGAACCTTTGTTTCTGATGCAAGGCGTGGTTTTCTGTGGTGTTTTTATAATTCCTCTTTTGCTTGTCAAATTCTGATTCGCCAGTAAACCAAAATATGATAATTGTAAAAACTACTCCACGCCACCTTTTCTTTAGTTCAAAGCATTCTAGAGAAGTCTCAGACAGGCCATCCGGACTTCCTATTCCGCCATAAAGAACCTCGACAAGCTGGATAAAATCTGTTGCAAGTGACACCTGACCGCAACGGTTCATTCAGAATAAAAGCTGAACCTCACGACCCCTTCAGGGTCTCGCTGACGTCAATGAACCTGTCATGACCTGGAAGCATTCCAAGACTAGTTTGGTCGGCACCGCTGCTTTTCTGCTGGCTTCAGTTCCAAGGGGGGTCCAAGAGGACCTTGACATTCTGGATCTAAACGGAGGTTTCCCCTGGGTAGGTAAACCAACACATGGCATCTCATGTGTGTTATAAGTCTCCAACTAAAGTTTAGAGCGAAACATTCACTCCCACTCAGAACTAAATGCTTCTCCAGATCCACTGGCTCTGATAGCAACACTAGAGGGTGCTAAAAGCAAGCCAAAACGGCCTAGTTCCCTTTGAAGTTGTTGGTACTTGAAAAAGTAGCTATAGATGTTTTTAGAGCCATTTCTTTGTTTCAAATTCACTGTTAGTATTGTTGGCTCAATGTTAGTCTCTGGTCTTCTTTACCTGATATGAAAAATAAAACCAAAAAATGTCGGGGTTTATTAGAGGTACAAGAAATAATATCCGGGTTGCTCCTGTTTACTGCCAGCAGGTATCGAATTACAAATGCTGGTGCTGTAGCGTTGACTGAACACAGACTTGGCAACCCTGTTGGCTTACTGATTGTAAACAGCATGTACGTCCCCATTTTGCTTTGTTTTTTGAAAGGGGAAAAACTGACAACCCCCAGCACAGTGAGAAATATTTTGTTTTGTGATTATTTCACTGAACAATTCTTGCATCAATTAATCAGTCAATCAAACTTTATTTGTATAGCACTTTTCATACCAAAGAAAATGCAGCTCAAAGTGCTTAACAGATTAAAAAGACCCCATATAACCCATATTCCCATCACCTCCCCACGAATATTAAAACAATCATGACAGTTACAACCCATTTCCCAGGCACACGCACCCACACGCAACCCCCCCCCCCCCCCACACACACACACACACACTCACACACACTCACACGAAATCTAAAAAGCAGCATAAGTAAACACTAGGCTGAGTTCAGATGGGTTAGGTAATGAATGACACATCAGGTGAGTCATCTGCAGTGGTTGATCGACGGCAGTAGCCAAGGCACCAACCTAGGGCGCCCAGGGAGGGGAGGGCGGACCCCCCCCACAACACACACCTAATCACTCCCTAGGAGCGCCCAGGCCGCCACAGTCGACCACCAGAGGGCCCCAACGAGGAAACACTGGTATGATTAAAATAAGTAAAATGAAAAGAAAAATATATGTATCTATTAATAATAATAGCTGATATGGATAGTAAAATAACTAATAAAAACTGATTAAAGAGATCGTAAAACACAAAATCATAAATGTCTAATACCACTAAAATGGAAATAATAAAATTAATTAATTAATTAATAGAACAAGAAATGCAGCTACAAACAGATGTCAGTTAAAAGCTAAGCAGAAAAGGTGAGTCTTGAGCCTGCTCTTAAAAACATGAATATTCTCTACGACCCTGAGGTCCTCCGGCAGCATGTTCCAGAGACAAGGGCCACAAAATTGGAAGGACGCCTCGCCATGAGTATGTGTCCTGACGTTTGGAATCACAAGGAGATGACTACCAGAGGAGTGCAGTTCCGAAAAAATAAGAAGGCCCAAGACCATTAAGACACAAAAAAACCATTAAGAGAACCTTAAAATCATGCCAATCGTAACCATAGCTTATTGTACCTTTGAGGCACTTCCCTGAGTTTAATACACTTGTGTATACATTTTCTGTAAGTTGGAATACAGCTATTTTTTAATAATTTCCTTTTTTTTGTTATTACTCTTTTCATCGTTTATCTCCACGAAGACCATCAGAGTAAATGCCTGTGTGGTTTAACTCAATGTCACCAACATCCTTGTTGAAACGCTAGAGCTGTAATTATGCAGTTTAATACTAAAACCTCCATATTTAACTTTTGCTAGTTTGTGGTACCATTTGTTTGAAATAAAAACAGAGATTTGAGCAACAAGCAACTGTGAACTAAACGTTTTGAAAGCAGCAGCTGAAGATCTTGAAGCACTAAATAAATATTAGTGACTGTTCACCCATTTCGGCTCAAAATAGGTTTTGATAAAAGGACAAACAACTAAGTCCTTGAGGGGTACTTCTGAGTTAAAAAATGCTCATGAAATACGTATGTGGAGTAACCAGGTAGGTGTGTTTTAACTGTGGCAAATCTGCAACGCCTGCCTCCAGAGGGTTAACAGCAGAGGTTAAGAACATTTTAGATGCACAAACTGCAGACTCACCACTCCTAATATTGCTACCACAGTGATGCGGAGGGTTACGTTAAGTGGATCTGAAAAGCTTGTGACAGGTCGGAACAAACTGTTAGAAAACAGTTTATCGTTAAGTTCTTTAAATAGGGAGTCGGGAGTCGGGCTGCTGCAGTTCAGCGCTGCTAAAGAACCTGCAAGATGAAAATTCAACAACAGAAAGAAAACATCAATTTGTTTTTATTACTAATAGAACATGTAAAAAACATGCTTACACATACGAGCATAAAAGAAAACTAGAATAAAAAGAAGACAGTGAAATAGTTTCTTCTTACCATGAAACAGAGTGAAACAGATGAGCTCCAAAGGCTTCATCTTCTCAGTGAAACCTTTGATTATTTTGAAGATCGCTGGCTCACAGAATGAAGATGCTCTGCTGTGGTTACATGGTTTCATTGCTAAGTCTCCCCTCCTTCAGATTGCTAATATTGACTTTACAAACTGGGGCTTTTTCCGGCATCCAGACATCCTTGTGTCTGTTACGTTTATTTGCATAATGAGTTTCTGGTTTTGCAACCAGTTTCTAAATTCTCAAAGCAGGATTATCAAATTGCTTCTCACCCTCTTTTTACACAAATGTAAAATATCTGTTACATATCTGTTTACACAGACATAAAACATCTAAGATAACAATAAAAATGGTTCTAAACACATTTTTCATTCATGTTCCTAGAAAAGTAAGCTAACACGGACCCTAATCCAGTTACATAATTCTGTTTGTGGGAGTATTTATTCAGATAAACAACTCTAAAATTTTTAATTCCATTTTTCATCAATGTTGATGAAGAAGCTTTAAAATAACTACATGAATCTGTTAATTTCTAATAACTTCTGCTTTTTGTTAATTCTTCAGAACCTAAAATCTCCAAATTATTTTTATTCTTTAATCTAATAATTGGTCAATTTCCCTCTAAACAAACCAATAAATAAATAAATAAATAAATAAATAATTTTTTTCTAATAGAAAGCCTAAGTCTCCTCCCTTTCTGGTCGGCTCATGGGTGACCGGAAGAACGATAAATTGAATGCAAGTCAATGTGCTAAAAGAGTTGTTTTCTAATCCACTTTGCCTTACGCCCTGGATCTTACATATGTTGTACTTCAATGTAAATGAAAAGTAATGATGAGAGTTTCGACCACACCAGTCACGTACTTTGAGATTTATCAGCTTGTAAAAGTTCGTAATTAGCATGACTACCCATCAGACATCGGTACCTCACATGACCACAGAATCGCCTCTCCCCTAGCGTAGCTGCTACTTACCTCATAGCTAGATTTATGGTGGTTCTCTCCTCCTAAAGAAAGAATTTATGTTCGCTGAACTTGCAGCCATTTTCTCTCTGATTTTCTTTGTGTCTGGTTTGATGACGTCACTTTGGTGATGAGCATTTGTAGTCCTGGACGTATTTTCACACGAAGTCTAAAATAACTTTTGCCCCTGTTCGAAAATAAGCATTTTCTTGGCATCAAAATGTTTCTTTAAAATTATTGGACATCCTATGTGAAATCCATGACACATAAACGGGAATAGAAAATAGCTTTTATTGCCTCATTGACTTGTATTCTTACTTCCGGGGACCCGTGATCCGTAAGCAGATGGACGTGACTTTAGGCTCACTATGTAGCTGGAAATCTGCATAAACAACAATTTTTTAAGTCGTATTTTTTAAATGTGCCATATATTTGTGTATAATGGGACCGGTGCTGATTCAGGTACAGGATCTCGGGCCAGCTCACTGGCTGATCCAGATACACCACATGGTGATGATGACCATGGCGTAGCAGGTGATCAGCAACAGGTAGATACGGAAGAGCAGGTAGTCGAGGATGTACCCCACGTGACACCACTGGCCCTGCAGCTCACTCTCCTTCTGCATGGAGTTGAGGTGAGCGCGGAGGTCCCTCAGGTACTGACAGATCAGCTGCAGCTCAGGCAGAGAAATCGTACCTGACAGAAGGATTACATTCTAAACCTCAAGCAACAAGAAGCTGAAATTAGTTATTTTAGAGCCTGATTACCTCCGTTGGTGTTTGGGTGCCTTTCAGGTGTTTGGCTGACATGTTGGACCACCCACGGGCCTGTGCTGTTGTTCAAGCTCTCAGGTTTGTCTTCCTGAGGTTTTTCAGGTGGTCGCACATCTTCAGGCCATCTGTAGCAGATCAGATTGGCTATATGTTTGAGCACGATGACTCTGACCCAGTTCGGAATCTCCTGGTACTTCATGGAGCTGTGATGAAGGACATTTGTGATGATGACTGTCTCCAGAAGACTGATGACCATCAGAGCCAGACACACAGAGAAATAGATCCCTGGGATAAAATCCATGAAATAGTTAGAAATAGTTAGAATTCATGCTTTTCAAACATTTACTGAGGCTAATTCATCTAGTTTATTCATGTTCCAGCCTGTAGTCACAACCTCTGACCTATGATGGGCGTGCCGTTGGCTGTGCTGGGCAGCAGGTCGTTCATGATGAGCAGGAAGACAGTGTAGCCTAGGATGAGGGTCATCTTGAAGGAGGCGCGGTCAACGCTGTGGGGGGGCAGGTAGAAGGACAGGATGTCGATGAGCATGAGGAAGGAGCTCGGGATCAGTAGGTTGACCACGTAGAGCACTGGGCGTCGCTTTATGACCACCTGGCGAACAAGAGAAGATCAAGCAAATGACTGTGGATTTCGTTAGCTTTCTTTAGGATTTAGGTTTGATACAACACTTTTATGAATACATGACTGCTTAGTTACAGCAGTAGAAAGGTCCAATTTATGACTTTTGGAGACCAGAGGGGCCAGCATCTACTGACATACAGCTGGATTGGCTAAAAACACACAACCCCTGAGCACAAAGAGTCGTGCACGTTGGTAAAAATATAATTCTCTTTCAAATGGCTGATTACAGCAACATTAATACCTTAAATTTAAATCGTAATCAGCGTTTCTGCCTTGAGATTTTGTTTATTTAAGTTATAAACCCCATGAAAATGAGTGTCTCTGACCCAGAAGGTGATGATGTCCCACTCATCGATGCCAAACTTCAGGATGGAGGTCTCTCCCAGTAGGTCCACCAGCTCCCATTCTCCACTAGCTTCCAGGTACTGCTTTGAGTTTATTGACATCTCATTAAAGGTCAGAGCAGGGCTGAGCCTCACATCCCGAACTGGGAACAGGAAAAAGAAACAGCATTATTTCAATATTTACAATTAGTTTACTTTTATTATCACATCATTTGGGGCAGCAGTAGCTCAGGTGATAGAGCGGGTTGCCTCATGATCGGAGGGTCATGGGTTCGATTCCAGCTCACACCAGAGGTATTCTGCTGCTGTGTCCTTGGGCAAGACACTTCTCGCCCAACTTGACTGTGTTGGTGGTGGTCAGAGGGGCCAACGGCGCCAAATGACAGACCTCCCCAGGGCGGCTGTGGCTACGTAGTAGCTTACTGTCACTGGCATCGTGTGACTGTAAGAGTTCACACAAGCGCCTTTGAGTGTCCTAATAAAGCGCTATATAAGTTCGATGATTATTATTATTATTATTATTATTATTTCCAATTTTAACATTCAATTAATTTTAATTTTCCCTTTTCTCTGGTCCAGTAAATAGAAAGTGACCTTTTCTTACTGGTGTGCATATAAGAACCAAAGGTAAATGTGCAATTCTGCACATCAAAAGGAAAGCTGAAGATCTCCAGGTTGCAGGCTGAAACGAGCCGCAGCATCCTGTCCCAGCGAATGCGACCCGTGTGGTTGACGTAGACGTATGGACATGCCTGGGAAACATCGTCGTCCACGCTTAGAGGATGGAAAAACAAGGAGGGTGTGTCAATCATGAGGTTGCATCATAAATTAATCTAGCATTTATAGATGTGTCGCTGGGTTTACTCCTGACTCACCCAGAGGGAGATGAGCAGCATGTCCTCACTTTGTATTTTTATTCATGAGATCAGGGAGAAAAGTTCCTGTTGACTGTATCTCCTTGACGACTAATAATACCAGACTGGTGAAACCCCCCCCCCCCCCCCCCCCCCCACACACACACACACACACACACACTCCCCCAGGGTGCAGCAAGTCACAGGATGCAGCAGTTTTATTAAAAACCCTTAGAGCTCATGTGGTAAAGGACATGACCTTAGGGTCTGTGGCTGGTCTCAGGCCTGTTAGCAGCTCTGACTCAAGCAGGAGGTGTTATCTTTGTTTTTCCACACCTGAGTCTGCAACACCTGGTCATCATCATGCATCATGAGTAATGAATCAGCTTTAAACACCAAGTACAAAATATCACACATGAACACAAATGCTCCCACTTGTCTCACATTATGTGACCTCTAAGCCCTACTGTGTGCGTTTCTTCACTTTTCTTCACTAAAACCATCTCCATAGCAACAATGGCTTCATTCTTTTGTAAAAATAAAAGTCATTTAAACACGGATCCAGTTTCAAAACCAATGTGTGGCATCAGATTGGTCTGAATTGAGTCAGATTATTACATAAAAGTCTCTGGATCAGCCCACTCCAACCTCCAGGTTGCCTATCCAGCATGGATTACTTGTTTTCCTGCTCCAACACTCCTCATTTAAAAGGTTGACATACCCTTTCAGCAGTTCATTAATCTCTACAGGAGCCTCTTAATCACCATTGATTCAACTCAGGTGTGTGGGAGCAGGGACTCAACTAAAACCTGCTGGACAGGGGATCTCGAAGAACTGGACTGGAGAACATTGGACGCTCGATCAGGCTAGAACATGAATTCAGTCACCACGTGATTGAGAAAACTGGTTGGAAGAGACCACTGAGAGACACATAACTGACTTACAACTCATACACGATGATGTCTGGAGACCACAGCTCCTTCACCGGCAGAGAAATCCGGGAGACACCGTCGCACTCATCAGGGTCCCAAACCAAGAACTCATTGCGCCAGAACTGCAGTGAGTTAAAAAGAAACAATCATCTCAAATTCTACTGTGTACATGTGAAACTAGCAAAATGAGATTATGATGCGAAGTTAATTTATTTCAGTAATTCAACTTAGACTGAGAGACCATCTAAAGGCTCAGGAAGCCTTTGCAGGTGTTGTTGTTTGGCTGATTATATTGTGACACTTTGAATGTAGAATATTGAACCTTTTCACAATAATCTATTCCTTCAAGTTTCATCAGTATGTCTGATTCGTGTTTGTGCTCCTCACCAGTCTCAGCCACAAGAAAGTAGTGAGTAACTGAGCCTTTTCATTCTGAAATACAAAAGGAAAATGACCAAAATGACTGAACCAGGCTGATACGCAGCGTTGTGTTGGAATGTGTCCGGTGTAAAAAAACTCACCACCCCGAGGACGGCGTACAGGGTGAAGGAGAGGTTGGCGATAGTGGGGCTGCTGAGGTTTACCACCGGTCTGAAGGGCTGGAGGTCGAACACAGCCTGCAGCGACTCATGGGTCGGACCACTGCCTTCTTCACAAACCAGTTTACTGTGACACAAACACGCTGCCCGCAAAAAAAGTGTTTTATAAACGGCTCATCAAATCTGTAATCTAACCTGGCTGCTGTTTTCTGGTCAATAAGAATTAAACTAAATTGTGCAACATTAATATTAATATTGAACATTCCGCTTCAGCCTAATTTCATTATTTTAACATGAAGTGAAAAAATAAAAAACTCCACCATAGAAAAGTTTACACCCATCTTTAAATAATGCCTAATTTATTTGAATAAATTAAGTAGAAATAACACATAAATAAAAATATGCATGTTACCAGTGAGAAGGAACCCAGAGAGGAAGCTGTAACCCGGCTGAGACAAAACCATGCTGGTAGATTCTGATGGAGGAAATCATCTCCACCACCTGAGTTTATCTCCTCTCAGCACCCTCCCATAAACACTTGTTTTTGTCTCTGAGAGGGACGTAAACATGGACGTTAACTCTCTTGAGGCTCAGTCCCAACCTGACCACTGCTACCTGCATTTTCCTGCATTAAATCATCAAATCTGACTCAGAATCAGACTCAAACACACCAATAAATCCTTTAATTTGTTAATTTATCCTGTTGGGAACAGTTATTCTCAGAAAAACAATTCACTAACACTGATGAAAAAGAAAATTTAGTCAAGTTTTTCTGAAAAAAATTAAACATTATTTTCTGATCATCCATTAAGTAGTTGCGTATTCATTCAGAGCATAAAGTCTTCATAGAAAAACATAAATAGATAAAAACACAAAAGTACCACAAACACAAACTTGTTTTTAACACCTTCAGAGGACATTCAGCTGTTGTATTTTAACACCTCCTCAACCACAGGGAGTCAGAGTGAGTTTCCTCATCTCTGCTGCAGAATCAGCTGCTTTTAAAGCCCCAGTGTGTAACATTTTTACCTGTTTACTACCAAATTCTGTTTCCAGTTCACAAACTTGTCATTTTTCATTCGTATTTCTCTCCAACATCATGTTCCTTTCAGCTTGAAATGTAATGTTTTTACACACATAAACTGTGGTCAATGCTCCATGGTAATCCACCATCTTGAACTACAGTAGCTGTTAAAGGACATACGAGCTTCGCGTTACGCGTTTGCACTTTTGCTGTAACCTGAAAGAAACAGCGGAGGGCAGTAGCGCGCCCTGGAAGCACAGAGCCTGCCAATTCAACTGAGAAGAAGAAAATAGCTACACCATTGCTGTACTTTGTTAGTTTGAATAACAAACACTGAAATCCAAAGACAAGTCAAAATTTTCAAGTCTTCATCATGTTCGGCTATCTGAAGCTAACAAGCAGCCAGTGATTGATGTTCACTCCATCTTCCCCGCCATCAAGCAGCCTGACAGAACCAGCTTGCTTCCTTCAGAACTGGCAGGCTGATACAACAGTCTTAATTAAAAATGCTTTTTAATTGATCGAAGTTGTTATATGCTTTTTGTGGGTTAGGCTAGAGCAGGGGTTACCAACTCTGGTTGTCGAGGGCTACCATCACATGTTAGCTGTTTGTTTGCTCCTACACACCTGGTTGAAATGAAGGAGTAATTAACAGGCCTATGCTGAGTTAAGGAGATGAATAGATTACTCCATTCAGGTGTGGTAGAGCAGGACTGGAGTTGTACACCTGGGCTAGAGAGATGGGAAATTGATTATACTATCAAGCTCATGCTAAGCTGGAGGTTGTTGCCTTTTTGTGTTAGCCACAAGAGCTGCAATACTTACTCTGAACTGCATGGCTCTGAAGAGTCCCATTATTTCCAGGATTTCTAAGAATTTCGCACATAGGACCTTTAAGTTTTGGAAAACACACATCCATAATAAGCAATGAACCTAAATCAGAAATATGAAACAGAAGTGAACAAACTGAGCAGGAAACTTTATTTTAAATACAGTAACAAATCAGTTACATGCTGTCTAATCGGTGGCCTGTGGGATGTATTCACATTTATTTTAATGAAAATAAATAATGCAAATATAATAATATTGATGCACATACAACATTTTGTAATATAAAAGTCATCTTGTTGTTTTAGTAACTAGTTTACATCTCTGAAAAAGATTCAAACATGTAAAACAAACATTTTAATCCAACAGATTATTTAACAGAATCAGAGAAAAAGGCTAAATCTAGCTAATGAGTTTAATTTGCTTCCAAACATAATTATTTTTAAATGATTAAGGAGCCCTTTAGATGAAAGTTCTGAAACCAACTCTTTTAGATAAGTTAGGTTTTATATGAGTTCACCCAGATAAGGATGATGCTGATGAAGCTGACGGTGATGAAGATGATGTAGAAGATGAAGAGCAGGCGGTCTATGACCAGACCGAACTGGATCCACTCCTCATAGCTAGGAGTTGCTTTTAAATGCTGCAGGACCTGGAGGTGGATGACTTGAAGGTCGCTGCCCAGGTTCTTCAACACCTCCACCGTCTCGTCCTCATTCTGCTGCTCCTTCTCGTTCTCCTCAGCCACTTGAGACAAATCCTCCATTTCTAATTAAAGAAGAATAAAAACTTATAACCAGTTTATATCACGAGCTAACTTGTTCTACTTCTGTTTCTGACCTTGTTTATTTGGGTTTTCTATCACTGTATCTCCTTGTTGGGAGGTCTTTGCAGGAAGTCGAACTATCTGACCCAAAACGCCAATAACATACTTTCTGACCCAGCAAGGAGGTGGAGCATAGTGAGCTGAGCCGCGCAGGAAATTTGTAATCAAGATGGCCTCCATCATACTGGAAACCATCAGAATCAGGCAGAGAGACAGGAACACATCTGGGACAGAAGTGGAGATGAACAACACTCATCAAAAATACTTACTGGTCAACAACACTGCAACCGGCAGCAGGTCGACTGACTTATGAGAGGAATGGTGTTTCCAGTGATGGGCAGCAGGTTGTTTGTGCTGAGCAGGAAGACAGTGTAGCCCAGGACCAATGTCATCTTAAACAAGGATCGGTCTATGTCCTGTGCAGGAAGCATGAAGCTGAAGAGGTCCACTGTGATAAGGAAGCAGCTGGGCATCAGGAGGTTCACCACATACATGATGGGGTGGCGCCGGACGGAGATCTGGTCGTGCACCACAAACACAACTATTAAAGTTCTATGGCCAATACAAAACATGTTTATAAAGTTTTATGCACAAAATCCCTCTCACATGAAGGGATTTCAGCAGTTTAATTATTGACAGTTTTGGTACTGTCCAGAATAAGCCATTTCAGGGCTCTGTCACTCAAAGAAATTGGAGTTGGCCACGCCCACCCATCCCCCACTCTGGCTGCTGTAAGCTGAGAAGATCCGATATCCAGGACAGGGTTGCACTAGAGCTGCAGCTATTTCTTTCACTTGGGAGGTGGTTCCGTTCTAATTTCTCCATTTTTGTGACATCACAATCCAAGACTTTTTAAAATGATTTGTTTTAGGCACATTCTTGCTAAAATCAAACACAGACAGAAAATAGGTGGATGGTTTCGAGTTGTTATTTAGGCCTACATGGCAGCACAAAACGATGTTCTACTCATCTTTGTTTAGTTGATTTAAAGAGTGACATGTTGTGGACCTCTTACTTGGGTTTACCTCCTTGCTGTGCCCATTCATAATGCAAACTCGTCAGATTTCCTCACTAAATTCCTGATGTTGGAACATAAATTCCTTGTTTATCCACACAGGTTTAATGATCCAAAGTTTAGTGACATGAAACTTTATGTAATTTATAATGTTAAATAATCCCATTGTCTCACATAGAAGTGAAGCTCATCGTAAGCAAATCCATCCAACGTTTCTATCCGCTTGAGTTCGGATTTTATTCCAATTAACTCCCATTCACCCATTGTCGTCATTGAGTCTTGAGAGTTTTTAAGTATTTCCTCAGCTGATGTCAGATTATCAAGCTTTATGTCGTAAACTGAAAGGACAAAAACATGTCAGGATTTTGGATGAAAGGCAATGATTGGGTTACAGGAAGAAGTGAAACTGAAGGTTTTTATGGACGAGTGGTTATACTTACTGCTGTGTATGTATGAGTTGAAGGTAAAAGTGCAGTTCTGGATGTCAAATGGAAACAAATAAATGTCCAGACGACAGGAGCTCACGACTCTGACAGGCTGATTATCATAAACCTGCCCGGAATAAAAAAGGTAGGTGTACGGGACGTCGGGAGCGGTGTTTTTTTCCATGCTGAAGGAAGATAAGACAAACAAAAACTCTAACTCAAATCATTAAATAACCAGGCTCACAACAACGTTGTACACCCAAAGAATTTAGAGACAAAATAAAACAGATAAAAACTAGAAAAAATGAAAATAAGAATTAGACGTGCAATTCATTGATGACGACATCTGGCACCCAGAGCAGAGTTCGTGGAATTGCAACCCATTCCACTCCACATTCCTCCGCATTCCATGTGGTGAATTCGTTTTGCCATTCCTGCATGCATTAAAACGCACATTTAAACACAGAACTCACATAAGGTGCGTTGTTTTGTTTTTACACGTCACAAGGAGAACACCTACTAGGTTTTGCCAGATGTAAGTTGTCAGGACCTGGGCCTTCTCATCCTGAAAAAGAACATGGAACTGTTTTATCTCACACTTTATGCAAACCAACCGACCAAGACATGGATTCTGCATTTGACACACGTTTTATATTTCTTACCACTCCCAAAATACCATATAGGGTAAACCCAATGGAAACCGTGGTCGGGGTGGACATATTCACGACAGGTCGGATGGCGCTGAGGTCAAAGGCTGTCTGCAGAGAACTCAGCAGCGACGTTGGACCAGGCTGAGAGCAGTTCAGAGCAGCAGAGCTGCATGAAGCTGCAGATGACAGGAACGAAAAATAGATGATGCATCATCAACTGACCTGATGGAAAAACCTAATCCACATCTTGAACAATTGTGCATCTGAAACAGAACTACAGTGATCCCTCGTTTATCGCGGTAGATGCGTTCCAGACCTGACCGCGACAGGTGAAAATCCGCGAAGTAGGGACACCATACTTACAGTATTTATTTAACAGATTCAGTATTCAGACGTTTAAAACCCTCCCTTTACATAGTACTGTATTTTTACTTGTTTTTTTTTATAGTTTTATTACAAAAAGTGCATTTTATGATGAAATTGATGAAAAAAAAACAGGAATTTCTTGATATTTCGCATAGAAAAATACCGCGAATCGGTGAAAAATACCGTGAATCGGTGAAAAATACCGCGAATCGGCGAATTTCCCTTGAATAAGGCTCCAAAGAAAAAATCCGCGAAGTCGTGAATCCGCGATAAACGAACCGCGAAGTAGCGAGGGATCACTGTACAGTCAGAACCCTGCAGACATTTGACTCCAGATTTATTGTTAATCTTTGTTCATCTCCTGTCTTCGAATTTGAGACATTTTCAACCAGGGTGAAATATATCCTGCTTCACCTTTTTGAGCTAGAGTTTCAGTCAATAAAAAAGGAGACTCGTGGGAATTAAAACAGGAAGAAGCCAAAAAATAAAATAAACATGTAGATTAAATCGTACTCACCGATCATCAGCAGAGAGACGAGGATGCATAGATGCTTAGAAGGCTTGATTTTCATCAGGCAGCACTAAAAACATTAACATTGGGTCAACAGCTGTCCTGTTAAGCTGTTAGGATGGAGTTTAGGTAGAAATGTTTGAAAAAGATCAAATATATTTATTTATATATTTATTGCAATACATTTATGTTCTGTTGTAAAAAAAAAAAGTTCTGAATATTTTAAGCTTCCTCGGGAACCTGGAAAAGAATTGTGTATTCGTACAGACTCATGATGTAGAATAAGGGTAAATTATCAGTAGGATGTAGCGTTATGAAGTTTATAATGGTCTGCCCAATAGAGTATAATCATTTTGCATTGCAGTATTTCCACTAACAGTTTAACAGTTTGAATTGCATAAATACCTACCATTTTCTCAGATCTACTGTCAGTGACTAAACTGGAGGCATGCACGATGCATCTTAACTTCACATTTTATGCATGTCATAAACTGAGCTCAGATCAGGACTAAAGTGGGAGTTCTAAACAAATATTTCACCATTTTCCTTCAAGGAGTTTTGCTTTGATGACACTCTTTTCTTTCATAAAACACAAATGTACAAACTATCGTTACACTGTGCGGAACCTGACTATAACAGTGAAATTTCCTCCTCAACTACAGATATGAATTTAGGTGTTTAAAAAGTATTTTACTTAATGCAAGTACTTTAAACTTGGGTATCTGTAACAATGCAAACCAAAAAGTCTTCTAGCTCAGCTGCTTTTTGCATACAGCGTACTGCTAACTTCTGCAGAATTGTTATTCCAAAAACCTCAAGGCTGAACAACATGAAAAAAAAACAAAACAAAGAAAAACAAATTACATTCAAAAGCTGAATTAAATTTTGCAAGTTGTTTTATTTTGCAGACTTTCTCCACTTTGAACTGCACATGATTACAGAAAACACTCAGAACTGTTTTAAAATAAGTTTAAAAGGCTAATTTAAACCCCCAAATAACAGTATTAGCTTTTATAAATCCAAAAAGTGCTAGAACTCCATCATGTACAGTTTCCAGCTGCAGTATTTAAAACCACTGGGTCAAATTTATGCTGACAGACGAGTCACGAGATCCCAAAGCAGCTTACTGGTACGAGTTCACCCAGACAATGATGATGGCAATGAAGCTGACTGATACGAAGACGATGTAGAGGCCAAACAGCAGGCGGTCAATGACGAAACCCACCTGGATCCAGTCCTCGGAGCTCTGCTTCCCTTTCTGCTGCTGCTCCACCTGAACGCGGATGTCCAGGAGGACTTTGTTCAGGCTCCTCAGCTCCTGCAGGGCTTTGTTATCCTCAGATGACCCCTTTGTCTCTCGAGGTCCTCCGTCAGATTCACCTCTTGCCACAACAGTGCTGGTCCTCTGCACTATGTTTGGAAGACACATTTTAATCAGTAAAAAGAAACAGTAACAATTGGAAGAGCTTCTCTTACGTTAGCTCATTGAAAACAGTTCAAGTTAACAGAACTCTGTCAGAACAGTGTGTCTTTTGTAAAAATTTTTAACTTTTTGTAGCTTTCAAATAAAAATATTCCTTAAAGCAGAAATGTGGCATTTCCACCATTCAGGAAGTAAGTGTGATTATTGAGAAATCTGCAAAAGTGATTATCTACGAAGCTAGGATTGGGACAATATTACATGTAACTTGTACCAGGTTTTGTAACTTGTATTTTGTCACTGTAACTGCAGCTTTGTAGTGTGTAATTCTCGTTTTATAACTTTCGGTACGTACTTCAAATCTTCATTTTGTAACTTGCAGAAAAAATAAATTTACAGGTTTCAAATCAGAACTCTCAAAACACATTTCAGTCTGCAGTTACGAAACTTAAACATACGTATTACAAAACGTTTTGTCCCAGTTTTAGCTTCATTTCACAAAGAACCAATGACAGGCTTTGTCTGATCAGCGAATCATGACTCCTGTCCAATAATGGTAATCAACCAAACTTGCTTACATTATAACTCTTTACCAGTAGGTGGCGGTAAGCTTAGAGAAATTACACTGACGTAAATAAAGTACTTACATTTTGAATTGGAGCAGGATTTCACATCCGAGATACATGAATGGCTAATGAGACAAAGCCTGTCATTGGTTATTTAGGAAGGAACAAGTTACAAGTACAAGATACGTGTAATATTGTCCCAATCCTAGCTCCATACTCACCTTGTAGTTGGGTATAATATAATGCAATATGTCTACTTTTTTAGCTAAGCTCCATCCCATAGAACCCCATGCAATTTGAATTGAGTGCGGCGGAGACATTTGCTTACGTACAGAAATCAATCACAGAGCGCATGCATGTTTGTGGACATGCGCAGGCTGATGCAGAGTTGGCAAAATTTCTTTTGGACAAGTAAGTTAATGTAAAAATAATAAATGTAAAGCAATGCACCTCAGTTTTCAAGCTAGATGTGTGCGTTCACAGAGGAGAGGCGTTGCTTCATGCCATAATCATGGAAGGAGGGAGAGGGGCTTAATGTGCAACACAATTTACCACCTCTTGATGGTTTCCTCTGAAAATGATTTCTGCTTTATGCACCGTTTTCATGCAGTTTCAGGTTAGGCCTCTAACTGTTAAGCATACCTGAGTCTTTTGGTTTCTTTTGTGGCATGCAGACAAGGCAGCCAATAATTTTCAGAATGAGCACCCGAATCCATCGAGGAACAGGAGAAAAGCCAGCTGAATTACAAAACAGGTTGGTGATAAGGATGGTCTCCAGCAGACTGGCCACCATCAGAGCCAGGCACAGAGAGAAGAACACATCTAGAGGAGAAAAAGGAAACAAGACGGAGCGAGACAGATTATGCACGTTGTTCTGAAAAGGTGGATTTATTTGTCTCTACCCGCGTCCCACTCATGGTGACATTCACTGACTTATGAGAGGAATAGTGTTTCCTGTGATGGGCAGCAGGTCGTTCATGATGAGCAGGAAGACGGTGTAGCCCAGGATGAGGGTCATCTTGAAGGAGGAGCGGTCCACGCTCTGAGGAGGCAGCAGGAAGCTGAAGAGGTCCACGGTGATGAGGAAGCAGCTGGGGAGCAGGAGGTTCACCACGTACATGGTGGCACGGCGCCGCAGTCTGATCTGAGGAGAGGAAAAACAAACTCAGTAATCAGTTTGCTTTTTTACATCAGATATTCTAAGACAACCTACATAAAATGCAAGCTCATCTATGTAAAGCATGGTATCGTTATTCGGTGTCTTCAGGGCGGTGATATCCAGCAGCTCCCATTCGCCCATGGTGGTCATCACAGACTTGGAGTCCTCTGTGATGTTTTCTGCAGGACTCCCGAGGAGAACTTGTATTTCAAAGGCTGGAAAGCAGAAAGTTCAGAGGAGCTGAGCTCAGTAAAAGCCCACATGACGAGACACAACCAGTCTCAGACCTCTTATTCATAAAGAAAATGCAAACATTACATTGTGACTCACCGTAGTAGATGTAGGAGTTGAAAGTCAAAGAACAGTTTTGGACATCAAAGGGGAAGGTGTAGATGTTGAGGTTGCAGGAGCTGACGACTCTGACAGGCATGGCGTCGTGCACAGCGCCATCATTATACAGGTACACATACGGGACAGACGGGGCTTTGTTTTCCTCCATACTGAGAACCCAAAGCAAAGAGACGTGGGGATGAGAGGATGGAGCTTTTGAACAGAAACAATAAAGCTGGAGGGTTAAATCTCATTAACAGAAGTATAAGGCACATTAAAAATGACTAGAATGCCTTTATTTCATAGTTCATTCACCTCGAGCCATGGAAAAACCCACCTCTGCTAACAAACTTAAAAACATAAAGAAGTAACTCACAACTCGTTGATGACAATATCTGGGAGCCAGAATTTTTCTTTGGGAAGAGAGATCTTTTTTGCGCCACACTGGGCCTGATCCCAGCTGATGAACTCGTTCATCCACCACTAACAAGAAAACCTGTGTCAGCAGGCAGCTAGTTTCGTTTTACTTGCTTAGATGATTGCACCACTTACATAATGTAGCCAAATGTAAGTGGTCAGCAGCTGAGCTTTTTCATCCTGAAAGACAAGAAGAATAACTGTATGACCTGGAAATGTGAACTAACTTGTCTTTTTTAGAAGTTGAAAACAGTTTAAAAGACAGTGGAGGCTGAGCGTACCACTCCTAAAATCCCATACAAAGTGAAGGAAACGCTGACGTTGGTGACGGTCGTTTGGTTAAGGACGGGGCGAATGGCACTCAGGTTGAAGATGGGAGTCAGAGCTGCCAGGAGGCTGGGCTGGTTGGGTTTGGAGCAGGTCACATCCGCGGTGCTGCACAAAGCTGGTGAGGAGACACGAGAGAGGCCGACTGTCAAACACATTTAGCTCACCTTTAAATTTTCTTTAACTCAACATTATTAATACCTTGTTTTAGGAAAATGCTCACCTGGCATAAAAATAATGGAAACAACCACAGCTGGCATGGTGGATGAAAGGGGGACCTAAAAGACAAATCAAAATAATTCTATGATGTGCAGAAATATTTTTGATGAATAATTCACATAAACCTGTAGAGATGACACGTTATGACTTGCAGATTACGCAGCAGAAGACCCATACCTTTGATGCTTTATCCTTGGATGTCATGATGCGGAAAGTGGAGCGTTGCATTTTAGCAGAGGTTAAATTATCATAGCTAAATATAAAAAACAAACAATAAATTTACTGTTTCTGCTAAAACACCAACAGAACTGGTCACAAATAATCATGATGGACTAAACAAACAAACTCACCTGCTGCTCAAGCTCTGGCTGGTCTGAAGTCAGTCTCAGTGGTGCAGATATAAAAGACCTGAGAGCAATGCGGACAGATCCTGGTCAAATGATGTGGGACAGCCAAAGCAGAACTGCTCTTGTTCTAGTGCTTTTCATACAAATAAGTAGAAACCCCAGTTTATGTGAGGTACCGGGGCGTGTGACCTCACAGGTGAAGAACAGCGCTGTCAGAGTCACACCTGCTGGTCACATGCAAATGAATCATGGACACGAGGTGAGGCACAGGTGTTGTCTGGTTTCTACCCACAATCCCTGGCAGCCAATGATTTTACATCTTATATAACATGATTTTAAGCTTTGGTCATTCTTCAGTGTTCTCTTGTAGAAATGTTTGCACACACACACACACACACACACACACACACACACACACACACACACACACACACACACACACACACACACACACACACACACACACACGTGTAATTTATGCTTTTCGTGAGGAAAAATTGACACACAAATGTGTTCTTTCTTTTACTTGCTAACTGCTTGCAGGACTATTGGATGTTTAATAAATTTTTTTGCCTAATTTCCACAAAAAAGTCCTTTAAATCAACCAACTGATAGGATTTCCTGTTTCAATCAATTTGGATTTTAAGGAAAATGTATCAATACAGAAATATTAGCAGACATCTGTAACATGTTATTAAATGTCATAAAATTGGTTTAATACATTCAGGGATGGACTGGGACTAAAAAACAGCCCTGGACTTTGACTAGGCCCGGCCCAAAGTAATCGGCGTGCGGAAATTCGGCAGCAAAAATATGTGGTCAAACAGTCAAAATTATAGCAACAGCGCTAATGTTGACTATATGTTGTATTGCACACCCTTTTCTTTCCTTTTTTTTTTTACTAGCGGCCGGGTTTTGCATCGTTTTGTTCTGCTGCCTTTGCCTCCTCTTCGCTTCAGCTTCTTCTTCTCCTTGCCTGGTGGCCACGGCCAGTGTAGCTGGCATCCAACTTAGAGGTGCAGTGCTGCCACCTAGAGTGCTGGAGTGTGAAAGAGCTTTGAGTGGGGGAAAAAACCTGGTGTTGAAAGTGTGCATGGAGAGTGGCAGGCCGGCCCACCGGCCGTCCTGGAGTACCGGCCGTTCTGTGATTCTCCAGAATCCAAAGATGGCCAGTCCGCCCCTGAATACATTAAAAAGTCAAATAACTGAAGGATATTTCAAGAAATGTTAAAAGAAAACTGCTTATTCTGAAATGTTTCATCACAGACCAAACAAGTCAAAGACCTGGAAGACTTCTAGAGGTTAAGGTTAATTGTAAAACAAATAGTTTTAGCCAAAAATTTGAAAGTAATTTAACAAAATCTTATGACGAACAGATAGATTATTGTAACATCTTTATTGATTTCCTGTAAGCTGACAAACAAAGTAAACAGGCAACCTACAAAAGAAGAAAGTAAATTTGTTGACATCATTAACACACACATCCACACACACAGCATTTATACCAAGTAGTGTTTCTATGGTTACATTGTGATTTCTTAGTAAATATTCTATTTGGTGAGAGATAAACTTCATTGTATGTATCTTAGTGAATCTATAATTAAACAGGTAAACTTGTAGTGGCTCATTCAATGTCAAAGAAAGTACAATGTTATTATCAGGTGAGGGAGAATGTTTAAGTGGTTAAAATTCAGTTTAAATGTAACTTGACATGACATGTTGCAAATAAATGTTGCTTAAAGAGCAAGTCACCACAAATAAACTTTTTTTCTGATAAACTATATAAATGCGTGTCTAATCGTGCTGCAGAAACTCAATTTCGTTTCTCTGTATGTCTTGCACATGTGGTAGAAATGACAATAAATGACTTTGACTTTGACTTTAGTCAATAGTTTTGCACTATAGTGCATTTTAGTTAAAATTTTAATTTTCTGCCTAAAACTGTCAGTGTTGTGCCATTGTCAGGTAAAAACTCTGCAATGCATTTGAATTTAAATCTGCCATCGCTATTAGCTAAGAGGTACTCAAGAATGTTAGCTGGTGTCACAATGTCATTGTGAGCCTGTGTGTGTGTGTATTAGCGGCTCCGCCCTCTCGGTCTGCTAGGCAACAGCATTTGTTGCATTTTTCAAACAGGAAGTGGAAGTGAACTAAGTTTCTTGTAGGGAGTGACTTGCTCTTTAAAGGTAGAATATGTAAGAATTTTACTGAGAAATAATCACATAACAGTCTAATGTCATATTGGAAGAAATGTTAAATTGAAACAGATTCCCTTCTCAGCTGGCAGTTTTTCTTCTTTTAAAAAGACAGATGAGGAACATTGTCTTTGTTTACAATCTGTGAGTCTGCACTGAACAGTAACTGGCAGCAGCCATGAAATTCAAAGTAGGGTAGTAAGAGTCACTGGTTTGTTTTGACGATAGGCTGCAGTAACCAAATTTGACCACAGGATGTCATTAATTCATTCTTACATAATGCACTTTTAAGGCAAAGAAAACTTGAAACATTTGCATAAAAGCGGATTTTCTTTGAATTCGATTCAATTCAAAAATACTTTATTAATCCCAGAGGGAAATTGATTGCTGTAGTAGCTCAGAATAATAATAATAATCAAGTAATCAAAGAGTTATTGTATATTACAATGGCTGTTGGCAGGAAGGATCTCCAGTAGCGGTCAGTGTTGCAGCGAAACTGAAGAAGCTCTGACTGAAGACACTCTTCCGTTGTCGGACAGTCTTGTGAAGAGAATGCTCAGGGTTGTCCATCATTTTCTTGATTCTCTGGAGAATCCTTCTTTGCATTATCTCCTCCAATGGTTCTGAAACTCTGGCTGAGTCCTTGAAAGGGCTTGGAGTTCCTCCATCTTGTTGGCCAGTGATCTCACATTGCCCATTATGATCGATGGAAGAGATGGTTTGAATTTCCTCTTTCTCTGTCTCCGTTTTGCTCCCGCTCTGCACCCACGCTTCTTGCGTTTTAGCTCATTTGGGATTTTTGGCTTCAGTTGAGGTATTATTTCTGCCTTTCCAATGTTAATCAGCTGCTCCCTATTGTAAACCAGCTTGTTGCCATGGTTACATATCATAACAAATGCTCAAAAAGTGAAAAAAGCTAAAAAATAGCAGTAAAAATCCTCCAAGCTTCACAGCACCAGAAACAGGAAAGTAAAATGTCCAAAAAAATACAGTTTTTCTTGAGAAACAAGAAGAAAAAATGCCCAAGAAAAGGCTAAACTTACATATAGTCAACAGAGCTACTCCAACATGCAGCCGCCCAGAACAGCGCAGTTCCGGAAAAAAAGCAGAGGCAAAATAATAATCTGGTTTTAAAAACTCACTCCATACGACAGACTCCCAGTTTACAGCCGTCACAATGAGTGGGCTCATGGGGGCTGTCAACATCAAGGTATCCAAAATACTGCTTCCTTTTCCCAACCCTCTCCCTGTAGAACTTTATTCTTATTTTTTTCCATCAGGTTATCCATGAGGATCTGGATGTGAGTGGACTCAACGCCTGGCTTCACCATGGGAGCATCGGCGCACATCTTGCAGTTCTGGAGTAAAGGCTGAACCTTGACGGTGCCTTGCCCATTTCTCAACTGCATGTGGAAGACCACCATCGTACGGTTGGAAGGCCAGCTTCTGGCGCAGGAGGTGCATCTTATCTTTACAAGAATAAAAGATGTTACAGCTCTAATGTAAGATTAAGATTTTACATAAAAATCGTCTATCATCTAATCTCAATTTGATATTTAAAATTTGACTTGCTGTTTGAATGTCTTGTTGGTGGAAAAGAGGGAAATTCAAAATCAATATTAAAGTCTAAACTAAGGCACTGGAAGTCCAAGCAGCAAAAACATCACATAAGATAATCAGTAGATCTGACATCTGACTGATGAAAACCAGGAAGTACTTCTCTGGGAGTGATTATGGATGAGTAGCAACAGAAGACTTAAAGAGCAAGTCACCCCCAAATAAACTTTTTTTGCTGATAAACTCAATAAACGAGTGTCTAATCGTGCTGCAGACACGTGTCGTCAATAATTTGGCACTTCAGTGCATCTTAGTTAAAATTTAAATATTCTGCCTAAAACTGTCAGTGTTGTGCGGTTGTCAGGTAAAAACTCTGCACTGTATTCTAATTTAAATCTGCCACCGCTATTGGCTAAGAGGTATGCTGTGATGTCATCTGGTACATTATGATGTCACAATGCTGTCGTGAGCCTGTGTGTGTGTATTTGTTAGCAGCTCCGCCCTCTCGGTCTGCCAGGCAACAGCATTTGTTGCATTTTTCAAACATGAAGTGGGAGTGGAGTTAGAATCTGGTAGGGGTTGACTTGCTCTTTAAAGATTAGACATGCATTTATATAGTTTATCATAAAAAAAAGTTGATTTGGGGGTGACTTGCTCTTTAATAAGAAACACAAAATAGATGGTGAGATTAAAAGCTGGAACCATAGCAGCTGAGGGCATCAAGTGGCTCTGTTCCAGAACTGCGCTGCTCTGGGTGGCTGTACGTTGGAGTAGCTCTGTTGACTATGTGTAAGTTTTGCCTTTTCTTGGACATTTTTTCTTCTAGTTTCTCAAGAAAAACAGTATTTCTTTGGACATTTTACTTTCTGTTTCTGGTGCTGTGAAGCTTGGACGATTTTTACTGCTATTTTTTCCACTTTTTCACATTTGTTATGATGTGTAACCATGGCAACAAGCTGGTTTACAATAGGGAGCAGCTGATTAACATTGGAAAGGCTGAAATAATACCTCAACTGAAGCCACAAATTAAAATTAGTCAATTTCCTTCTGGGATTAATAAAGTATTTTTGAATTTGAATTGAATTGAATTAGAAGAAATACAAGAACTGAAAATTAACCTCAATTGAAAACCCGCCCCAAATGAAAAAGAATTGCCTAATCATAAACAGGAAACCAAAAACCAAAACAAATACTTGAAACTATGGCATTTTAGTGGAGATATAGTCATTTTTAGGCTTCATTTTAAATTAATTTATTATGTAAGATTAATTTTCTGTTGGTCTAGTTAAGCTGTGGTCTTTGGGGTGCAGGCTTTCTGCAAGTACAGTCACGACAGGTTGTTTTGTTACTCGATACATGAAAGCTTGGAAATACAGTATTTCCTAAACACTACTGAAGTCCTGAGGTTTCGAAATGCATACGTCAAATGTATTATTGATTTATTCTGTAGGCCTACCTTGCAATTGTTCTCCCGATGTACTCCTTCCAGCCAAAGTTTGCATGCTTGGGTTCAATATTATCATGAAACTCCAAACGCCAGGTGTCTCTTTTCTGGAGTGTTTGAATTTTATTCTGAAAGATGCTTGTCCATTTCTCTGTTTCCATATTTTAATAAAAGAGAAGACTGCTGCTGACAAAGAAACAGCACTCTAACGGCTGATCTGCACGGTTGACAAACAACTTTTGAAGATGACTCATAATCTGCAGGAGTAACTGAGGTGAGTTTTAATAAAACAAAACCTAAACCAGCCTAGTAGCTTAAAGAGCAAGTTACCCCCTACAATAAACTTACTTCACTCCCACTTCATGTTTGAAAAATGCAACAAATGCTGTTGCTTGGCAGACCGAGAAGGCGGAGCTGCTAACAAATACACACACACACACAGGCTCACAATGGCATTATGACATCATAATATACCAGATGACATCATAGCATACCTCTTAGCCAATAGCGGTGGCAGATTTAAATTCAAATACAGTGCAGAATTTTTCCCTGACGACGGCGCAACACTGACAGTTTTAGGCAGAATATTTGAATTTTAACCAAGATGCACTGAACTGCCAAATTATTGACTACACGTGTCTGTAGCATGATTAGACACTCCTTTATATAGTTTATCAGCAAAAAAAATGTGATTTTGGGGTGACTTGCTCTTTAACTAGAAATGGAAAGTGGGAGGATAAAGGAAATTCAATGCGAAACACTGCCATCTTCTGGTTGCATGCTGCAGCTACATCCAATTTGATATCAAAACCAGAAACAGACATTTGAATTCTTAATTTAAAAAATTCCGTCTGATTAATGTTCAGAACATTAACCCTAACCCGTTGAGCTCGTTATTTTGAAGAAAGATTTTATAAAATGGCTCTGACCCTAGTCCGACAACATTTAAAATGTGTTTGCTGATTTAAAAGTCACAACAATTATTGCAGGCGCTTGTTTATTTTACCTTTTTGTCAATAAAAAACATTGTTTTTGTTTTTCCAAGCAGGAAATTCAGTAAATTGAACTTCAGTAAGTTTTTCAGTAAATTGCGCCGCCATTATTTTGAAACAGGAAATGAGCGTTCGGTGTTTCTATGGTAACATATACAACCCTGCAACGTTAGCTTTGTACAGTCGCTAGCCTTTTTGTGAATTTGTGACTACTACACACTTTCATATCATGCACGGACCAAACACGTACCTTATACGACCTAATTACCAGGACAAGTAAGTTAGCTCAAATCGTTTTAAATAGTTTAGTTTTGTAAGTTTATGCTAGTTTAGCTAGCGCCGTTGTTGCTCACGCTAGCTAGTGTCTAAATATTGGCCATGTGTAGGGTATCACCACAGTATAAATATGTACTTTAGAGAAACAAAATATGATTTAAAACAAACGAGGCGTCGTTTAGTTCCACATTACACATACATGTTTTTAGTCTTTTTAAGCGGTTTTGTTCATTAGTTACCCTCCCTTTTTAAATGTGCTTTATAAATACATTTGAGTTTGCTTACCTTTTCTGTCTGAACTACCGAAAAACTATATTCTATGTAATTTTTGGACCTTTTAACTGTGTTTTCAGTATGTTCCTATGTTAGGTGTTTGGCTCAAATCGGGAAATTTGCAGACATTGCTTCACAGATTTATTTCTTCACGTTGATGAAAGTTTCTGTTTGTGTTTATTCACTGTTTATACTTCAGGGACATTATACTACACTTATTAAACTATTGTAATTTTTAATAATTTTATATCATAAGATTATAATAGATGATAACTCATGTTAAGTAAGGCGGACTGGTGATTTATAGTGTAATGTGTGTGTTTGTGTGTGTTTTTTCTGCTATTTGTTAAATCTTCCAGGTTTAAACCAGCCACTGTGAAAGGATGCATTCGTGAAATTTTGAAGGAGCAGTTATCTGGAGTTCAGTACGTCCCTGACAATGTCCAAGAGCTGACCCGTTCACTGGCAGAAAGCATTAAAAACAAAGTGAAGGGTTAGTGTTGCAATGTTCCTAATCAGTCACTCTTTCATTTTCTAAACAACCTTAATAGGGTCACAGGGTGTTGGTGTCTTACTTCAGCAGACAACGCTGGTGACAGAATTACGGACGGGGGACTCCTTGGACAGGTCACCAGTCCATCACAAGGACATACTAGGGACAATTTAGAGTCACCAGTTAAAGCTGCAATGACAAATTTGGAAAACAAATTAGCTTAAAATACTTTTTTCATGCCTCTTAACAACGTTCTAACATAGTATAGCTATAAATATATTGTGGAGATTAAAAAAAAACCCAATAATAATAAAGTGGTTCTCTTGCGTTTGTCTAAACACCTTCGCCAAAAACATGTTTCAGACCAAAGCAACTTGGACCATCTGCTAGTCAGTCTCGCTGACCCGCTGCACTTCCCTGGGTCCTCCATCCATTACACACTCGCATATTTAGCGACAGAACACCAAGGTTCTTTGCTCAATAATATCAGAGGAGAACCAGCTGGCTGCTAACAAACTTTAAGACAAACTTCCAGAGTCCCAAAAAGAGAAACACCATTTGAAGTCACAGACAACAAGACATTTGGACCTATAGAATGGCGACTGGTGTTTAGCACTAGTTTCCGGTTCTGGCAGAAGCGTCTTATGGAAGGTACCCGAGGGGAGGGGTGAGTGTTCCGTGACCGTGTTCGCGTTCAAAATCTAGCTTGTTGTGTAGATTTGCTAAAATACAACATAATTTTTTTAATGAAGAGGACCTCAGGAAGAATGGTTTTCACTATGGTGAAGACTAATGAGGATCCCTGAATAAACAAATACCAGCTTTAACTTGCACATTCATGCTTTTGGTCTGTGGGAGGAAACTGGAGTACCTGGAGGAAACCCACACATGCATGAGGATAACAAACTCCAGCCACAGTCACTGTTCTAATCTTCAACGTTCTCGCTGCGAGCCAGCACTTCTACCCAGTGCTCCACCCCCAGCTTCAGTCCCAGTTTATGCTATATTCTAAATCTACTGTAAATGTTTAGCTAAATGAAACCAAAGTCAGCAGAATAAATCTCTGAGTATAAATATGGGTTTCTGGGAATTACTTGTTATTAAAAAGGAATATTTAAACATAGAATAATGTTAAATCAATAAAAGTTGGTAACATCATCTTATTTTTTTGTATACAGAGATGGTACATGACAGATATAAGCTTGCTGTTCAGGTGGTCATTGGAGAACAGCGGGGACAAGGATTTAAGTAAGTTATCGTTAAACTAACCACACTAAAACTGTTACTGTTTGGTGAAGATGATGTAAGTTTTACATGAATTTGTCTTAAGTTGAAAGGAAGTACAGGACTCTCACACCTGACAGCAAATAGCAAGAGATAAAAGATATAAGAAAATTAGCCTTTTTTTTCAGAATACACCACAAAGAAGAAAATTATAGGATGTATTTGTGTAACAGGGATGTTGTGAACTCTAAGAACAAAATAAGACAAAAGACTGAAAACAAATCAATCGGACACCTGTGGTGTGACTTCAACACCTCCTAAACTCAGATATTTCACAAGAAATTTCTTTTGGGCAGCAATTTGGTGCAAACTCAGCCCTCTCCCTGGGCTGCCACCTTACCGTGGTGGAGGGGTTTGAGTGTCTCAATGATCCTAGGAGCTAAGTTGTCTGAGGCTTTCTGCCTCTGGTAGGGTCACCCACGGCAAACAGGTCCTAGGTGAGGGATCAGACTAAGAGCAGCCCGAAGACCTCTTATGATGAATTACATAAATGGAAAACGTGTTCCCTCGCCTGGACGTGGGTCACCGGGGCCCTCCTCTGGAGCCAGGCCTGGAGGTGGGGCACGTTGGCGAGCGCCTGGTGGCCGGGCTTTCACCCATGGAGCCCGGCCGGGCACAGCCCGAAAAGGAAACGTGGGTTCCCCTTCCCATGGGCTCACCACTCGTGGGAGGGGCCAAAGGGGTCAGGTGCAGTGTGTGACGGGTGGTAGTCGAGGGCAGGGATCTTGGTGGTCTGATCCTCGGCTACAGAAGCTGGCTCTTGGGCAGCAGTAACTCAACAGGTTGAGCGGGTTGTCCAGTAATCGGAAAGTTGCAGGTTTGATCCCGGCTCCGGACAGAGAATTCTGCTGTTGTGTCCTTGGGCAAGACACTTAACCCACCTTGCCTGCTGGTGGTGGTCGGAGGGACCGGTGGCGCCTGTACTTGGCAGCCTCGCCTCTGTCAGTGCACCCCAGGGCAGCTGTGGCTACATCGTAGCTCATCACCATCAGTGTGTGAATGTGTGTGTGAATGGATGAATGATACACTGAAGTGTAAAGCTCTTTGGAGTCCTTACTCTGAGAGGCGCTATACAAGTGCGGGTCATTTGTCATTTATCTTGGCACATGGAATGTCACCTCTCTGGTGGGGAAGGAGCCTGAGTTGGTGTGTGAGGTTGAGAGGTTCCGACTAGTTATAGTCGGACTCACCACAACGCATGGCTCTGGCTCTGGAACCAGTTTCCTGAGAGGGGTTGGACTTTCTACCACTCTGGAGTTGCTCCCACTGAGAGGCGCCGAGTAGGGGTGGGCATACTAGTTTACTTTAGCAAGATTGGAGCAGCTCAGACCCATAGGAAACAATAATAAATCCCTGTATGACCCTGCATCCCAGAATGCTTTGCAACGTTATGTCACAATCTATTTTTAGCAACTGTAGAAAACCCTGTTCAATTCAATTGTACAGCTTTATAAAACGTTTTTTATAATGATTTAAAGGAAGTTTTACATTTTCGTAACTAAACCTAAAGTGATAAACCTTTCAAATAGATTAAATATATTAATTATGCAAATTTGACACAAAAAAGTTTATATTTCCAAGTATATTTACGGCTTTTATCAAATCTAGAATTAGAATAAACATCTTCTGTACGTTCATTCTGTGTAGTTTGTCAACTTGTCTTGCTTGGTTCTTTTAAAACACAGAAAAAAAAGAGTTGTTCTTTAACTTGTTTTGCTAACGTTTCAGCTAATTACTATAGCCATCCTCAGAGCTAGCCGCTGTTAGTGGCGTCACTTCCTTCCCCATTTATCTGCAGGCAGCAGAGGACGATGTCGCCCTCTGCTGCCTGCTCTCTCCTCGTCGATGACACAGTTCCATGCGTTATCTAATGTGTTGACTCCATCGTCTCTGTTCATGGTTCCCTCCCTTTTATATTTTAGTTGTTCATTGTTTATGATCCTTGTGCTATCCTAGTCCATTATACGATTCTCCCTTGTGCAGCGGAATAAGAATAAATGGAAATTATTTTTATTTTATGACACATCAGCATCAGATCAGAACTTGCAGTGTTCAAATGTACCCAGCTGCTCTCTTTAAGTTAACAAAATCAGTTTAGCAATCTAGTATTAATGTAATTTTTTATGTGTGTAATCTTTGTAGTATTTTTAATCTGGCATTTAAATGTAAATTGTATTAGTGAAATATTAAATTCCCTTTTATATAAATCTGTTTGATTTTGTGTTTCCAGGATGTCGTCCAAGTGTTTGTGGGACTCTGACACAGACAGTTACGCAGAAAGTGTTTTCATGAATGTAAGTTTTCAGTCAAATATGAAGAGCTTAGAGCAGATTTTCTGTTAAATCACAGTGTTTTCCTCCCTGTAGGACAGCTTGTTCTGTGTGGCGGCAGTTTTCGTTTGCTATTACTACTGAGAACGTGAAGCATGGACGACAGAAAACTTTCATAAGGCGAGATGTGAGAGGAACATTTTGCTGTTGGCGTTTCAGATGGGGACTGGTTGATGTGTGTAATTTCTGCATCTTTGAGGGAGATTGTCCTCTTCAGCATCTGAATGGCCTGTGCTAATGTCGGGATTTTAATGTGACACATTTCGCTGTAGTTCATGACTTAACTAAGTTCTTATTAGTAAGCGATCTTCTTTGCATCTTCCAGTCAATGCTCAGTGTTGAGCCTTGGTGTTCAGGCGGTGGTTGAATGTTCCAGTAAGGTTTTTATTTTTTCACATGAGGCCACTGACTTTCAATAGAAAAATAACATTTTTATTAAATGTAAAATTCATTTGGATGGAGAAAAATAAAAACAAAATGTAAGTGCACTATATTGTCAGCAGTTGCCTCAGAGTTACAGTAGAGGTCACTGTTTTCTGTTATTGTAAATTTTGAAAGACAAATAATAAATGTCAGCTGCTGTAATTATACCTCTGACCCGTGTACCTGTATTATTCAATAGCTTAAATTTGTGATCTCACTTCTTTTTGCTTTCATGCTTTTGTAAATGTCAGTTATTCATTTATCTGACTTAATGACTCTTATCTCTCAGTTCAGTTAACAATTGGGCAGAGAAAATGTTGCAGTATCTCATCTTATATGTAGAATTGGTTGATTTTGCCATAAACAGTTAATGTATGCATTCTGTATGTTTTTTTTCTAGTTCAAACAAACAAAAAAGAAATAAAAATATTTTAAACATTTATCTTTTTTATTTATTTATTTAAAATGAATTTACGACACAGTTTGAACTCTGAACCCTTCTTTCAGCAGCTTATTGATAAACACCTACAGATAAAACTGGAAAAAATAGAACATGATGCAAAAGTTCATTCACTCCAGTAATCCAATTTAAAAGGTGAGTATATGAGATAGGCACATTACTTACACCGCCAGATATTTCAAGCCTTTATTTGTTATAACTGTGATGATGGCTTACAGCTGATGAAAACCCCACATTAAAAATCTCAGACAACTAGAATATTGTGAAAAGGTTCATTATTGTAGACTCTGATCAGCTAATGAATCAAAAATGCCTGCAAAAGGGTTCCTGAGCCTTTAGATGTTCTCTCAAGATGAATTACTGCCATAAATTGACTTTTGCACCATAATCTAATTTTTGGGATTTTCACCTGTATTTCTGGATCACTGCCATGGGGGAGGAATATTACCTCAGTAGAAAGTATACATTTAAAACACTGTAGACCCCATGACACATTGAAGTGGCGTGCCCACACCCCAAAAAGCAGGTGTGAGAAATCATTTTCCCCTGAAATATTCTGTTCTCCCAGTGGCGGTTGCTCTTCAGGCTATCTTCACATCATTCGTGATCAAATTTTACTGGAACATTATGTACAATGTCATGCTTGTCCTGTAATCGGAAGGTTGCTGGTTTGATCCCGGCTCCTGCCAGAGAATGCTGTTGTGTCCTTAGGCAAGAAACTTAGCCCACCTTGCCTGCTGATGGTGGCTGGAGGGACTGGTGGTACCAGCACATACACAGGTGCCAACGGTCCCTCTGACCACCATCAGCAGGTAACATGGATTAAGTGTCTTGCCTAAGGACACAACAGTGACAGACTGAGCAGAGATTGAACCTGCAACCTTCCATTTATGGGGCAGACACTTAACTCCTCTGCCACCATTGCTGGTTAGGGTTAGTGAAGTAAGTAGTTCTCTGAAATATCACAGCAGACCCGTTAATGATTGACCGGTGAAAGTTGGACATTGTGCACCCAGGTCCTTGAAAGGTTTTCCTTCAGCGACTTGCGACAGGAAAAAAATCCTTCATTTGGGATCTATTATAGCTCTGCTTCCACTAATTGTGGTAAGAACAAAATAATCTAATATGCATGTTTGAGCTAAAGCTGCAGGCTTTGTATATAATTAGTTATAATTATAAGTTCAGCTGTATTTAACTCTAAAGTCCCGAGCTCTCTTGGTGATGTCTGGCTTTATTGCTTGTGTAGGTTAACCCACCAATCATCACTCAGCTAGTTCTGATCAATCTAACCTTTCTCTGGTCTGTGTCAGTGCATGCTGTCAGTTACATTCTGGGAGTCAGAAATAGATTTGGACATTAATTACCATTTAGTTGATGTAAGCACAACTTCTACCAGCAATAACACAATTCTGTCCTCCCTCCAAGCAAAACAAGCACACCATATTCCAGTTATAATCTAGCAAAAAACCATTTTACAGTTTTAGGTTTTAAAATGAAGTAAATACAACCTAAAGGTACCACGGCACATGCTGTATGTGCCGGTCTTTGAGGGGTACAAATAAATTAATCACAATAAAATCCAACTTTTGTTTGTTCTGAAGACTTTAAACTAGATAATTTTGGCCTGAGTCTTGAAAAGTAGCTTATAATAAATCATCTATTCAGTAGGAACTACACAGTCATCTTCTGACCTTACGTTTCCTAGTGTTGACAACATTTGACCCATTTTTTTTTACAATTCTGCTTTCTGATAAGAACTGAACTTGCTGCTCTTTTGTAAAGTGCTTTGATGTGATCTTTGTTGTTAACATACACTATGGAAATGAAAGAAATTTAAATAAAAAAGGTGTCATTTCCATCAGGATTAGCTGATGAGCTTGATATCATTGTCTTCTTAAATGACCCAATTTAACCCATTTTTAGCCTTCAATTGGACTCATATTCCCTCTAGATTAGATGATAAACATCCAGATGAGTTTTGCTCTTTAGTTTTCTAATTATGTGCAGAGCTCAGTGTTCATCATGCTAACTGAGGCTTGCAGACACTCAGGTGTAGCCCTAAGATTCCTTGCAGTTTTTCCGAGCATTTCACCATGCGAACGTGCTGCTACGTACTCCTGTCAAGAATCAGCATCACTGACCTGTAAATAAGCCTTCACACTTTCGAATAATCGACTTTATATTAGCAGGAAATGACCTCATAGCCTCAGGTAGCAACAGCTGCTTCTTTAGGGTCATTGTAAGCATCTTGACATGGTCTTGACACCTGAGTGGTTCATTGACAAAATACTCATAGCTTGTATTTTTATTTAATTCCTCTGATCTTCTGATGATTACTTAATGGTGTACATCAGATTAGCAGCACTCGGCATCTCTTGCTCTCTTCAACTGGAAGCAGCAAGGGTGGATTTGGCTTTTATAAATTCTTATGGTGCCTAGATTTTTTCTGTATTTAATGTATTTTTATAAATGAAAAAAATTTTATTTTTGATGCACTAGAGCTGCACTTCAAATGAAAGATAAAGTAACAACATCTTTTCCTCAAAGCTATTCTTGTTCATTTGTATTAATTTAAGTAAATTAATTATTTGCGTCCTTTATGCTGGTCTTGCCCAGTGAAGCATTTCTGAACATCAAAGGTTAATTTTAAACTTTAATCTTTTGTTAACAACAAACCTGAACTATGACAACATTAGCCAAGACTGTTCTTATTCAGGATTTCAGTGAGTCCAACAATATCTAGGTTTTTCCACTCTTTTTCTATAATTGGATCATGAAATAAAGACGTGTCACCAATTAGACGCAGGTCTACTTTCAGATGTTGTTTTTGTAATTATGTATGAACTTCCTCCTTTGATTTCTGAAAACTGCCCCCCTGCTGGAAACCTGGCAGCTTTTGAGACTAAAGTCTAATGAGACAGAAATGAGCAGGTAAAGTGATGAAACTAGCAGCATCAATTAGTCAAATGAGTCATACGCTGATAACATATACATACCCGCTGAAGAAGCTTTCACAGGTTTATTTTTGGTTCTAAAGCCCAGCTGAGGTGTGCAGGAATCCATGGATGTTCATATGCACTAAAAGGTAAATGTAATTTGTACACAAATTTCAGATTTTCTTTTAGTTATTTAACAAACATAAAGCAACAAAGAAGCATAGGAGGTAAAAGCAGGATACTTCTAATTACAATCTGGTGTTTCATCAACGTTAACACCTATTTGTGTACTACTATGTAGTTCTAGCAACTGGGTTGCCAGATATGACCGGTGTCTCCTGGTAAAAACACATAGTGCAGTTAGAGAGACCTTCACAAGAAACAAATCAGACATCTTTTCAGCTGAATCTAAAACAACTTGACATCCATCAAAAACAGCTCTGACTGGAGGTGTTATAAGAATTAAGGTCAGAACAAGAGACATAAAGGGGAGGAGATATGATGGGAAGTCTTCAGTCTGAAAAACAAGTCAAGTTAACATTTTTATTAAATTGAAAAAGATGCAAACATGAACTTTAGATATTTGTAATAAGCTTTCTGTGTTTCAGAAAGTGAATAGTCAAACAAATTCAATGTAAGCATATGTACATAATATTTTATATTTATGACTTTCTTTTATAATAATAATAATAATAATAATAATAATAATAATAATAATTGCTTTTGTTGTTGTTACAGTAGCACTATAATTAGCCGCATGAAGCAAACGCCTGAGTATGTACAGTTTTCTGGAAAAAGTATGAAATGTGTGTGTGTGTGTGTGTGTGTGTGTGTGTGTGTGTGTTTGTGTGTGTGCATGTTTTATATTTACTAGATTTAAAAAAAAATCATGATTGACAAGAACAACCCTTGTAAGGAGATGACGTAGAGACAGCTCCCCACTCTGTGACAATTATAGTGTGATGGGATTCCTTGTTGGATTCTTGATGAGTATGGATTATTGTTGTTTAGCCTGGTATTCTGTAAGATATGTTGTTCTACGGTGTTTAAAATTCTTGTTCTATGTGCCCCTTTTGACATTACCATGTTGGGTAACCATTTTTGGTTCTTTTTTAAACACAGATAAGGTTTTTCTTTACCTTGCTGACGGTTTCGTTTGCGGCTGCAAACATCCACAGAGCTGACGCTGATGGTGGCGTCACTTCCTATTCCGTTTATCCACGGGCAGCAGAGGACGTTGTCGCCCTCTGCTGCCCGCTTTCACCTCTCTGATGATTCAGTCCAGTGGTGGCTCCAGAAATTTTTTTCTGCAGGTGCTATGAAGGAGCTAGTCTTTTTGTTGAGGGTGCTATGAAGGATGTGGTTATGCGTACCTATTGTTCTCTAAAACACCTTCAACACCAGCAGACACACATGCATGCACAAAACCTCAACAACACCTGAAACAATCATTAATATACATCACAGGTAGCCAGGGACTACCGCATTGCTAATATCGGTCTTCTCAAGATTCGTTCCCTCTCTGGTAAAGGACATCTTCTCCAAGATACCATCAAGGACCGTAAGCTAGACTTTCTTTGTTTAAACGAAACTTGGCAACAATCCAGTGATTTTTCACAACTCAATGACTGTACTCCTACTGGATTTGTTTACATCTCCAAACCACGTGGGTCGGGCTGCGGTGGTGGTCTCGCGATACTCTATCGCGAGACTTGGAAGGTCCTTCCCGTTAGCCTGCCTCCTCTCACCACTCTGGAGTGCCTCACCTGTCAACTCTCCAGCCCGACCCCCACAATCATTGCCATTGTCTATTGTCCCTCCAAGTTAAGCTCTGAGTTTTTAAATGGTCCTGGTGATCTATTGACATTTCAGGAATTACTGTCCTCATTCTCTGCCAGCATCACTGATGCAAAGAAAGCTTTCTACACTGACAAAATTCTCAGCTCTACTGACTCTCAGAAATTATTTTCAACATTCAAAACTCTGCTCACCCCTCCATCTCCACCTCCTACCAACAATCTATCAGCTGACACCTTTGCCTCAT